AGAGGCCATCCTTTCTCAGGATGAACTTCCCCAAGGAATTTCAATTTTTAACAGTAAAAGGTGTTCTAAGTCCAAAAAATCTAGGCATTATAAGATGTACTCATTCCTCCTGAGGTACTGCCTGCTCCCAGGCAGAGCTAAGAGATACATACCCACACACACACACATACACCCCTACATTCTTTAAAATCTAGTTCTGCCAAGCACTAATCTAATCCCAGCATTTGAGAGGCAGAGGCAAGCAGATGTCGGTGGGTTTGAGGCCAGCCTGGGCTACAGAGTGAGTTCCAAGCAAGCCAGGGCTAGAGTCCCTGTCACAAACATCTAATTTTAGGCAATGGTGACCACTGTTCACAGCGATGAGTATCTCCTGAAGCAATTCAGAAACTCCAGGGTTTATTACAGCTTTTTTTCCTTACCATGTTGTACCTCCCTGGAGAGAAACAAGGTTCTTGGGATTCTAACATGTTGACTTTTTAGACATCACCAGAATAGCTCCTGCTCCACATAGCTGCCCCCTCAATCTGCCTGAACCCTCTCTCCTAAAGGCCAGGTCTGACCAACCCTCTCCACTAAAGGTCTAGTCTGACCAACAACCATCACCACAGGGACACATTCTTACTCCCATAGAGCTGACACACCATAGCCCAGGCCATCATCCCAAGACTGGCCTCTTCAGTGGGGCTCTGATACCCTGCTTTGGGCCACCATGACTTCCTGTCCCCTACCCTGACCTTTGGCTCCTACCTCTCTCTGCTCCACCCAAAGGCTTTAGGACTGAGTCCTTTACCAAAGGGAAGGTGAAGGAACCATTGTTTGTCTTGATGGGAAATATTTGTTGTTAACAATTCTTTTCATGTTAGGAGCACTCGAGTCTGACCTATTAAATAAACAAATGCTAATTATGACTGCCAGCGTTTCCCCGATCTTTTGTCTCTGCTATTGTCATGACATTTTTAATGAAATGTTTGTACAGTTAGGATGCCTTCTTCCTTACAGCAACATTTATTTTGCAAATTTGCTGTTGTATTTAGGCTACCACCAGCAACTCTCTTGGCAAACACTGAGCAACTCCCACCACAGAAATTAATGAGTAGAGACAAGGTCTGAACACCTACTCGTTCTGTTCTTCCATTGTCACGTGGAGGCACTCTGGGGAACCGGTCCAAGGGACAGCTATGGAAACCAGAAATGGAGTTTTGTAACACTGCAAATTCTTGGTTCTTGTAAACAAGTCTCCTAAGTTAGCCTGAGCATCCAGGAAATGGACTGTATCTCCTAGTTTCTGTGGGGGACCCATGAGGTCCCAGATACAGTCCTGCATCAATATAAGGACCCTCTGTGTTTGTTGCTGACAGAGCATGATGGGCTAGTGTGGGAAAAGAGCATGTTATGTTCCAGTGAAGGCTTGCTGCATTTTGTAGTCCTTGACCTCTGTGAACCACTGGTTTCTCTATGAAACACATGGCTGCCTTTGGCTGCTCAGCCCTGCGACCTCTGTCCGGCCTCTCTGACTGCCTCATCTCAGGAGTACCCACCACCTTGACAGGAGACACAGAGTAAGTGCTTCCTGGGTGTTGGGTACTGTTGCTGGTGGCCCTGCTCTTGCCACCCGTGTCACATACAGATGCGCAGGTCCCTCCACAAGCTTCTCTACTATTGTCCCTTCTGTCCGCAGGCTGAAAAGGCCTTTCATTTTTCACTCATCGTTTTGGACTCAGCTTCTTTTCTAGCTTCAGTCTATGTAGCCTCGGAATGCGAAGCACATTATATTGCAGCTAACTGTTTACTTTCTTTCTCTCCACAGGAGACAGGCATGATGGTAATTATGTGTTTAATGTCTGTCTCCTGGGATGGTAAATCCCTATGGGCGTAGGTTGTGGCTGTCCTATTACCACAATGTCTCCAGCCCTCTGCACTCAGAGTAACAAAGGAAGGCAACGCCTCTACAAGGCTAAATGGGAACCAGGCCAGGAAGTGACCCAAAACATGTGCTAACTCACTGGGTCTAAGCACAGCTTCTGAGGATCATACCATTAGTAATCCCAGTGAACAAAAGATAAAACAGATACAGACAGGTCAGTGATTCCCCCATAAGTGTACAGTGAGGTTGAGAATCCAACTCGCCCTTAGTTTGCACTTTCACCGTGATACTTCATGTATGGAAGGGAGGCTGTGGATCGATGGATGGATGGATGGATGGATGGATGGGTGTTTGGAAATATGGGTGGATAAGTGGGTGGATGGATAGATGTATTGATGGATGAAAGGGTAGATGTGTGGATGACGGAGGAGATGTACTATGCTTGAACACTTGTAAAATTTGTATAAATATGGTGTAGATAGTTTATGAGAAAGAACTTAGAATTGGGTCACAAATATTACCCCATCCAACTCCACTTCAGAGCACACTGCAGGCCACTGTGGTGGTTTGTATAAGAATGGCCCCCCATAAGCTCATGGATGTGACTATTTGGTTACCAGGGAGTGGTACTATTTGAAAGAATTAGGAAGTATAGCATTGTTGGCGGAAGTGTGTCACTGGGGGTGGGCTTTGAGTTTTCAAAGTCCACTCTAAGTCCAGAGTCTCTCTCTTTTTGTTACCTGTGGATCTAGATATAGAACTCTCAGCTACTTCTCCAGCACCATGTCTGCCTGTGTGCTAGCACGATTTCTATTATGATAATAATGGACTAAACCCCTGAAACTGTAAGTAAGCCCCAATTAAATGTTTCATTTTATAAGATTTTGCTGTTGCCATGGTGTCTTTCCACAGCAATAGAATTGACTAAGATAGTCACCCCCTTGGTCTCTTCCTCAGTGTTCCAAACACCCCTCAACTAGCACAGAGATGGAGAGGCAGGGCACACTCTCTAGAACAGTGGAAGTATCTCAGCCAGCACAGGTGTGAAAGGATGGAGTAATAAAATCTGGATTCATGGTGAATTGTGAGACTTTTGGATGAGTAGGGAAGGCCCTCTTGAGAGTCTCTAGATCTCTGGAGTTGGTTGAGAAAGGAAGCTTAAGAGTGGATGGAAGTAAGTACAGACCTGGGGATGCATGGAAACACACTGCCCTCTCCACATGTAAGACTCCCACTTTAGGCTCTTTCCCCATCACCTCCATGTCCACCCTTCCAAAGCTGGTTTGCATGGATTTCAATATGGGTAGTGTACTTGTACAGTCTTGTTTCCTTCATATGATGGGGAGAGTGTTTCAGATGAGGCACAAAGTAATGCTCATTTTAGGACTCGCAAGACAGCTCAGAAGATAATGATGTTTGTTGTCATGTCCAACAATCTGAGTTCAATCCATGTGCATGTGTTTGTGTGCACAAATACACAAACAAATAAAATGTAAAAAATTTTAAAGAGCTAGCTCAAAAAATTAAATAAAGAGCTAGCTCATTTTAAAAATAGTTAAGTCACTTACATTTCCTGGTCTTGATATGGTTTGAATATGTGTGCCCTATGCTGGTTAGTTGTGTATTTGTTTATTTTTAATTATTAATTTTAATGTTTATTTGAGACAGGGTTCCTCTGTATAGTCATGGCTGTCCTGTAATTTACTCTGTAGATCAGTGTGACCTTGAACTCAGAAATCCACCTGCCTCTGCTTCCCAGTGTTGGTATTAAAGGCATGTGCCACCATGACTAGCTGCTGGTTAGTTTTAAATGTGAATTTGTTTAGGATCAACTGGGAAGCATCCCAGTTGGAGAGTTATCTAGATAAGATTGGCCTGTGGGCATGTCTGAAGGGGGTTGCCTTGATCTTTAGTTGACCCAGTTCATTGTGGATGGAACCATCCCCTAGGTTGGACCCCAAACTGTAGGAATGAAAAAAGCTAGCTGAATAACAAGTAAGCAGCATAAGTGCATTCATTCCTCTCTGCTCTTGACTGTGGACATGGTTGACCAGATGTCTCAAGCTCCTGCCTCTGTGACTTACCAGCAGTAGTGGACTATAACCTGGAATTATAAGCCCTTTTCTCTCCCTAAATTGCTTCTTTTCAGGGAATTATATTACAGCAACAAAATGAAACCACATTACCCTCCAAAGTTGACAAACTGAAAATTTAATCTCCCATATTATAAGTTAATGGTATCTGAAGATAAAACCTTTCTGATGTAATTAGGTCACCATGGTAGCATTAGTGACTTCACAAGAAAAGGAAAGGAGACCTGAGCTATCACACGTTCTCTGTCTCACCACATCTCTGCCCTACCAGGTGATGCCCTCTCTCCTGTCAGAGTGCATCAAGAAAGTCCTCAGCAGATGCTACTGCAAGGTCCTGGGCTTCCAGATAAATAAGCTTAGGTTCCATTTTGCTTTGTCTTTGTTGTTGTTGTCCTTTTGTTTTGTTTTGTTTTGTTTCTTGTTTGTTTGTGAGAGCTAAAGAAAGAAGATCTGGCTACATAGCCAAGACTTGCCTCATACTTATTATGTAGCCCAGTCTAGCCTTGAATTGACAACCCTCCTGTCTCAGCCTCCTAAATACTGAGATTAAAGATATGCGCCATCATGCCTGACTACTAAACTTATATATTTTTAAATAATCTATTCGGTTTTGTTATATCAGAAAAAAGACTAGGACAAATGCATACATAATCTCCAATATAGCCAGTCCTGGGTATACTCAATTAACTTCTACTTATTTGTCTCTAAATTATTTATATGACAAATAGCACTGTCATGTACTCTGGGATTTTATTCACTGTTTGAAAATATTTTAGGATGCATTCCTAGAATTGAATTGCTTGAATAAAGCAATGGAGTGGCTCTGTGAAGGTGGAATTTCAGACATCTACCATGGGGGTGGACCAGATATTTTTACTCTGGAGATTGGGTGTGTCAGGCCCTGCTGAGAGGATGATTGTCTTTGGGGCCCATTATTGGCATCTTTGATGCCAGGGAATAGTATTTGTGGATTTGATGGTTTGTTCTTCTCTAGAAGGAAAAGAGAAAGTTCTTGATTGGATCTTGTCTTCTCTCACTTCTAGAGGAAGATACTGAAGAAAGAGACACCTGGGACATCCATCAGTGGATTCACCAGAGGTCATGATGAAAAGCCAGTAGTTTGGTATTCAGTCGTTGAAGAAACATATGGACTTTGGCCCTACAATCATATTGTGGTTACTAAGGGAATGGTCTATGCTATTGCTAGGATACATAGATTCTTAGTACCATGGATGGATGGATGGATGGATGGATGGATGGATGGATGGATGGATGGATGGATGATGGATAGATGATAGGTGGATGGATGATGGGTAGATGATAGATGGATGGATGATGGATGGATTGATGATTACACAGATATATGAATACATAGATGTTGGTAGGTAGTTACCAATAACTCATGGACTTAAATCTGGTTTGGGTTAGGTCTCTACCCATTAATTATTGGACTTTATGTAACTTCTTGGACCTCCATTAGCCTCTGTTTCCTTGTCTGCATTTGGGTTTAACAGTACCTTTCTTTGAGGGCTATTGTAAATAGCCAATAGAGGCTCTAGCATACGATGAGTGCCCAGAAGTTATGGTAGCCACTATCATTTGTTGTGAGTGGACAGTCTCTGACTGTTTAAACCCAGGGAATTACCCATAAGATAGGAAGTTGGATGCTAGATAGGACACTGTGTTCGTCCTTCTAGCCGAGCATGCGCATGGCACACCTGCAGGATGCTTTTCACGGGACAGGTTTCTGCCTACCCACATTTAATTCTGAGTTGAGAGATCAATTGGGGATCTGCTTATATCTCTATTTACACAATAGATAAATAAGGAGAAGGAAGGCAACATCCCTATGGAGCTGGACTAAAGCTATAACTGATTTCTAACCCAGCTTTCACCTGCTGTCATGTCCCTTGGGTGTCTCACTTCAGTGAGGTTTGTTACACAGTCTTTCGTCCTCCAGCTACTCGTGGAGCTGAGGGCAGAGGCTCTGGCTGGGCTGCTGTCCCCATGTGGCTGCAGAGTAGTTCTGTCTTTGGCCTTTACTGAGAGCCAGATGGAGGTGCTAAATGTCCTGCAATGACTCTGGGAACCACAGACATCTTCAGCTGCTGACTGGCTCCTTAGGCTGGAGTCTGGCCTGCCAGCCTAGGACACAAGCGCTGGTCTGACCTGCCAAAGCAGCTGCCTTAGGCCTCAGATTTGCCTTGCACTGGGCTTGGAATCCAACCTCACCTGACCCTGTGGCTCCTCACTCCAGGCAGGACTAACTGTTTCTCCTCTGTGCCTTCTTTGTTTGCTGTCATGACATCAAAGCACTCAAGTCGGTTTTAAATGCACCTCTCCTCTTCCTAGAGCAATCGTGTTCTTTTGTTTGTTTGGGATTCTGTACAAGCCCAAGTCTTTCTTAAATTAGACCTGAAGCTTACTGACATGGTTTTCTACCTGGGAGAGTGGCTAGAGTTGAAAACACAAATTGGTGGTTTTGAATCCCACTGAGTGTATGTCTTGTGATAGAAATAGTTGTGGAAAACCAGGCTTATCTCAATTCTTCACTCTAACACCTCTCCAAAGCCAAGCGGTCTTCCGTTCTGCAGTCAGCCAGTCACTCAGCAAACGCTTGCTTTTGTGTTCTTATGCCAGGTACTTGGCCTGTCTGAATAAAGAGGCCATGGGTCAGAGGTCGGTGCTGCCAGCTAGCCACATAAGAAATCACCTTATGAGATTTCATTCTAGACACCATTTCCTCTAGCTTTGAGACCATTTCTGGTTTTTAAAATAATTTTTAAACTTTGTATGTGATATATGTGTTCACATGTATTCACACTTGTGTAGGGGTTGCGTGTGCACATGTGTGCATATATGTGCTGAGACTGGAGGTTGAGAGTCTTTCTTAATCATTTTCAACTTTGTCTTCCTAGACAAGGTCTCTCGCTGAACCCGGAGCTCACTGATTGGATAGACTGGCCTGGCCAGCTAGCCCCAGCGTTCCTCCTCTCTGGCTACACACACTTTCAAGCACACTCTACTGGGCATGGCTTTTTATGTGGGTGCTGGAGATCCAAACTCAGGACTTCATGCTTGCACAGCAAGCTCCTCTCTACCGACTGAGGAATTGCCCAAGTCCCAAGTTTTGAGCTTTTCATTGTAACTTTAAAACATATTCTGTATTTAAATATTACAATCTTTATTCCTTTACCAAATCCTAAATAAATCACTGTGGGTAGAGGGAGGCACACCTTCTAAAACCTCCAACTAAACATCAAAAGTCATAGGTGGTAACTAATGGGGCTGGGATTTCATTTGCCATTGTGAATGTCGTTCCCTCATTTACTTGGTCCACGGAGAGCTTTTTTGGGATGTACTACGTACTTGGGTTGTCATGGGTGCTCTGGAGCCCATGGAAGGACTCTAAGAGGTGTCTCTGTCTGCCAGGTACTGGGGAGAGAATGGAGTTCAAAGTCAAGTAGAACATTAGGCTGCTGTGTCTCCAGCCCCGCGAGAGTAGTTCAAAGAATGTTCTGAGAGCAAGGAGGGCTTGTCCCAGCCTTTTGGCTGCTCTGTAGAGACCCAGGTTCTGAGCTGCTTCTGTGGAATACAAAGTCCTCAGGGCAGGATAGAAGACACCGCAGGTCAGGAGAAGAGCATGCAGAAGTCACAGTTGTTCGGGATTGCTCACTGGACACTGAGATCTGACAGGGGAAGTACTCACCCTCAACAGGGTTTGGCCATAGATCGTCCAGGGCACAGCACCCAACACCAACCCTGTGCCCATAAGGAAACTGCATCTAAGTCTCCCTTCCTCCCCTTTGTAGGTTCCCTGCAGCCCACTGGGGATGGTATGGTGCCTTTCTCACTTCTAAGGTCCCATCTTTCCTCTGCCATAAGGAGTCTACCAAAGGCCGCGCACATCAGAAACACATCCAGCATGACTGAAGGTAAGCAGTACGTTTGACTGAGTGGTTGGTTGGTTGATTTTAGGGTTTCATGAAACTAGCCCAGGATGCATTCAAACTCATTGTGTAGCTGAGGAAAATCTTGGGGTCCTGATCCTCCTGACTCCACCTCCTGAGTGCTGAGATTACAAATGTACTACCATGCCTGGCTATGGGTGTGGTGTGTGTGGATGGGTAAGGGTGTGTGCACGTGTGCATGCACACACATCAATCAGAAAAAGAAAGACTTAAGCACTATTTAGCTTCCCAGAATGATCTACCAGTCCGGACTAGATTTAAGTTGTAGAAACCTCATGGAGGGGTCCAGGGTCATCCAGTTCTGCTTGCTTACCCACCTCCCTATGGAGAACTGCACACAGACTCAATCCATAAATGTAAGCTTTTATGCTAGGCATGGTGGCTCATGCTTGTAATCCCAGCATTTTGGATACTCGGTGGGAAGATTGCTGAGAGTTTGAGGCCAGCCTTGGCTACATAGTGAGTTCCAGACCAGGCTGGACTATTTAGTGAAACCCTATCTCAAAAATAAACTTTAAAAAAAGCACCCCACTATGAAAAAAGTACCACAGACCACAGTGCCTTCTAAGCTGATCTTGATCCAGACCAAATTTCCCTACTGTGGGGATGGCATTATTTTCTGTGCAACACCTACCTTGCCACTGTCTTATAGGCATGACACAAAGAACTTCCAAAACACACACACACACACACACACACACACACACACACACACACACGAACCGACACACACGCACGTATGCACGCATGCATGAAGGCATATGATATATCACTAACCTCATTCCCACCAATATTTCACAATACAAACAAACACATAAGGGCTTAGGCTATAGCTCAGTGTGGTAGAGAACTTGCCTACTGTGCTCCAGGCCCTGGGTTCTATTCCTCACACTACACATACACACACACACACACACACACAAAAAAAAACAAAATAGTCTATAGACTTCTCTGGTTATGGTACAAACACCAAAGGGAAAACCAGCAGCCTGCTTAATGCGCTTAAAGTAAGAGTTCTGATTTAGCAGATAGCTATACCAGGCCTCTGTCATTATTTGTGGGTGAATTGTTACCTATTACTGCACAACTAAACACCCTAAAGAGTAATAAATAGCTCAGAACCATCATTTTCACAAGTCTACAAGGCTGTGATTGGCAATGTAGTTTCTCTGCCTGCACCATGGCTGGACCATCCAAGAATCCCTCATATTCCAGTGACCACTGGGTTGACTGGATCAGAGAGCCTAAAATTTCTTCTTGTGGAGACTCTCTGCTGGTTAGTTTCCACTGTCAGTTTGACAAGCTGAGAGTCACCCGGGAAAAGGGAAACCTTAATTGAGTAATGTCTCAATCAGATTTGCCTGTGGTCACATCTGTGGAAGCATTTTCTTGATTGCTAATTGATTTATGAGATCTCAGCCCACCGTGGGCAGCTCCTTCCCTAGGTAGGTGGGTCTGGACTATCTGAGAAAATTAGCTGAACACAAACCAGCTAAGTGCTATTCCTCCACAGTTTCTGTCCCAGTTCTTAACTTGGGTTCCCAACTTGTCTGTGGTGATATCTTTCTTGATGGGGAATGTTCTTCTGTGTATGTTTCTCTTACTGGTTAATGAATAAAACACTGATTGGCTGATTTGCCAGACAGGAAGTAATGTAGCTGGGCAGAATCAGGATATAAGCAGGGGACAAACAGGAAATTGCTCTGTTCTCTGTGGAGATCCTTAGCAGTCACCATGTGAGCTGCCAAAGGAGTTAGAGGTCCAGACCCTTCTCCGGTAAGATAAGACCACGTGGAAATACTTAGATTAATAGAGATGGTTTAATAATTAAGACAGAGTTAGCCAATAAGAAACCCTAGTCATCGACCAACAATTTCATAATTAATGTAAGTCTTTGTGTGTTTATTTGTGGCTCAATAGGGGCGAGACTCAGCTGGGCCAGAAAACTCATGCTTACAGCTGACCTTCCTTTGATGAATTGTAACCTGGAAGTGTAAGACAAATTAAACCCTTTCCTCCTCAAGTTGCTTTTGGTCAGAGTTTGTCACAACAAGAGAAAGGCAAACTAGAATACTCTCCAACATGGTGGCCAGACTTCTTTCTTTGGTAGCTCAGGACTCCAAGAGAAAGCAGTTCTCTAAGATATATGCAAGCCAAGGTTCAAAACTGTTCACACCATAGACTTTAGTCCTCTCATCCAAAACAAGTCACATGGCCAAGGCCTGAGCCAATGAAGATGGCCCATTAGTACATAAATGGCAGGAGGCAGAGTTTATATAGAAGACTCCCAAGGTCTAGCAAAGCTGTTGTATATCTTCAGCGCAAAGGGGTTTTACTCCAGACAGTGACTGGCTTCTGGGACCTCAAGGGGGCAGTGGGTCTGAACAGCCCAGGCCATAGGCCTCCAGGGTGGACAGGTTGATTTCCAGATTTGCTCCTCATAGGGTCACACTATGAGTAAACTATGCAACCTTCTCGGGCTTGTTTCCAAAATAAAAAATGGGGACAGGCTCCTCGGAGATGATCTGTCAGGAGAAGGGGCATTAGCTGGAAATTGTCAGCCTAGAGCTGAGTGTTCAAGGCTGTGAATCTGATTGGAAGTCCTAAAGGTTTTTCTCCCTCTTTCTTCCTCTTGTTAAAAAAATTGATTTTTGGTTAAAAGACTCAGAAGAAATCACTCAGTTTCTCTCCACAAAGAGAAAGTGTCACGACCTTAAATGGAACCTGAGAGCCTCAGGGATACATGAAGCACCCGGGCTATGGAACACCACACCTGGAAGTGTGGCCTCACCCTTTAAAGAGGGACCTCAAGGCCTCTCCACTCCATACTGTGTTGCTAATGGGAACAACTCAGGGCTCTTCTATTCATCTCCCTCAGTGGAGATGAACAAAACCTAAACTCAGCTCCCGAAGTGCATTTAATTAACAAGGAAACAAAGAAGCATTGTGTCCCTAATGCCTCCCTGATTTATTGCATTAAAAACCCAATTTGTCCCCACAATAGGCTTTGGAGGGAAGAGGCAGTGGAGAGACTGGGGAGGTCTTTAAGCTGCCGGCACCTCGCCACAGGTGCAGGTCATTGTGGAGCCAAGCTATTCCTGCTTGAAAAGTGCAACAGCACCGCTAACTCTGGGCCACTGGGGTGCCCCAGGCATCCTCCCTTGGAAAACCTGTTGGTGACCTCAGCAGACACTGAGGGCTTTGAGGTGATGAGTGTCGGATCTACCTCATCACTTGCTGGTTCTGGGGTTTTCCCAGAAGATGGTCATATCTACTTCACCCCTCTTCTCTGAGGAAGTCTGAGACCCATCATAGAAAAGCCCAGAGCCTGTGATCCAGTGAATACAGCGCCACGATGAAGAGTTTGTAAATTGCATAGCACAGAGCAACCTGGAACACCATAAGCATACAGTAAATGTCCGCTAATAGTGTTCGTGTAGAGCAGAAATGTCCAGGGTTGATGGGGCACATCTGGCCGATAGGAAAATTGTTCCCGAAGTTACTTCTCCAGTAGAACACAGCTCCATCTTATTTGTTGTAGCAAAACTTACGATACTGGGTGTGTTGGTCTCACAACTGTGACAAAAATACCTAACAGAAGCAACTTGTGGGGTGTGCTCTGGCTCACAGTCCACTATGGGAAGATTCAGGGGCGGAAGCAGGAGTCACACGATCACGTGGCATCAGCAGTCAGGAAGTGGAGTCTGATAAATGCTGCTGCTCTGCCCACTTTTTATTTGGTACCAAACCCCAGCCCATGGAATGGTACTGTTACGCCCAGGACTCTCAGTGCCACCCACATATAGGGTGAGTCTTCCCAACTCAATTAACCTAGTCTACACAGGCCCAGAAGTTTGTTTCCATGGTGATTCTCAATTCCATAAAGGTGATGATCAAGGTTATTCGCCCTAGTAGGTAATGTACAAAAGAAAGGTTTCTGTTAGCTCATGCTTTGGGAAACAGGAGAGTCCAAGTGCCTGGTGCCAGAATGCACACAGTTTTAATTCATGGTGGAAAGCAGAAGGTAAGCCCTTAGATGCCCAAGGGCAAGCGGGAATGGCGGAGTCACTTTACGACAACTGCTTTTGTGGTAACTAAGCCAGTTCCTTGAGAATTAAAACTCACATGAGATGGCATTAATTCTTCAGTGAGGGTTGCAGCCGTGGCCCAAAAACATCCTAGTAGGCTCCACCTCCCACCACCACACAGAGCAGTGGTTCTCAACTGTGGTCACAACCCCTTTGGGCACATAGTGGATATCCTGCATATCAGATATTTACATTACAGTTCAGACGGGTCAGCAAAATTACAGCTGTGAAGTAACAGTGGAATTTTATGGTTGGGGTCACCACACCATGAGGAACTGTATTAAAGGGTGGCAGCATTAGGAAGGTGAAAACCACTGAAGAGGAACCAAAGTTCCAATTTATGGACTTCTGGGAACCTGCCCAATCACAACAGTCTTAATTCTATAATTCTGAGAAAGACGTAGAGAACAGCATCAAAGTCACTTGCAGACCTGTCACCTGGAGACAGTCATGGTTATTATGCAGATATATTCCTTTGAGTTCTTTCATCAATTTTATAAAAAGAGACAATGTCGAGCATACTGTCTTGTTACATGCTGGCACTGTTCTTTTAACAGTGGATATGATGTTGACAGAGCATAACTCACGGGGGTCTCTTTGAGGTAGTGCCAGCTTCCAGGTGGGGAAACTGAGGCTGATAGATGAAAAGCCACTTCATTAGAGTAACAGAGAAAGTCAAGATTCAAGATCAGGGTCATCTACATCCAAAACCAGAGAACTTTCCAATCCCCAGGATGGCCATTTGCCTTCAGAGGAGCTCACAGTATGCAAATGGATTTTCCGTACCTCCCTGTTGAGACTGTGTGCCCTGTCTTCAGAAATCCATCAGCATAGACAAAAGGCACCAAAGTCAATGTCTGCAAAGGATTAGCCAAGAGGCAACAACACAGATGAGAGGCACTGGGTCTTATCAGTCACCAGGGCAAGGCACACGTGATGATAAATCTTGGTTGTCAACTTGATGATATTTAGAATCACCATGGAAACTGAGCATGTTTATGAAGGGCTCTCTAGATTAGGTTACTGAGGTAGGAAAATTTTAGGATGCTAACTAGATATGATATCAATCTGTGGATCCAGGACTGATGAAAAAGGGAAAAGCTAGCTTAATACCAGCATTCTCTGTTCTCTACCTCCTGAGTGTGGATGCAACATGACCAGCTGCCTCTTGCAACTGTGAACCAAAAATATGTCCTTCCTCCCTCAAGTTGCTTTTCTCATGTGATGTGACAAGTACCAATAAGATCATATTGCAACCACAGTGTGAGCCCCATGACACAACCGTCAGGACTGCAAAAATGAAAAAGATGGGCAACACCACGTGCCAGAGATGCCCCTGGATGGCTGTGTCAATCAGTAGAGCCACAATGGGAGGTAATTGGGCAGAATTCAGTAAAGCTGACTGGGTTTTTCTACTGTAAGCCCAGGAGAATGTCAACTAGGAGAGCACATGTACACCCCCCAAATGCATGCTCTATAATGCTTGTGGAGGTGCCATTTGCAATAACCCAAGTCCCTCCCCAGTAGACAGGGGTCAGTTCTCATTGTATGAATATACTACACACCATAGCTTGTGAACTGATTACCACGAAACATGAACCAATCCACAGATGTTAGCAAAAGAATTAGGACTTAAAATATATATGATTAATGGTTCCATTATATGAATTCCAGTGATGGGTCATGTGTGGATTAGAAGTTAGGATAGTGGTACCATGGATGGAGCAGCCAGGGTGTTGACTCTGAGGAGCTGACCATGATGTCTCTCAATCTCGATGCTTGCTAGGTGGGTATGTTGATTGTGTAAAAAGTCCTAAGCTATATACTGTTTGTAGACATAGGGTCTCACTATGTAGCCCAGGCTGACCTCAAACTTGTGATCTCCTGCCTGATCAGCCTCCTGAGTGCTAAGATTATAGGTGTGCTCCTCCTCCATATACAGCTACGGCACTTACTTAAGTACATTTTTGTGTGCATCTGAAACAAGTCAATCAAAGTGGAATCAACAAGGGTCTGCAAACATCAACCAAGTGTGCCTTTGTCCTATCTCCCACCCAATCCAGGACTCCAACCAGCTAGTGTGGTGGTCCTACCCAGATCCCTAGCAGCAGACTTTGAGAGCTTCTGCCAGGCCAATCATGGTCCCCTGCCCCTGCTGGGCCGCTGTGAGCCAGAGAAGGTGCTGCCTCACCTGAGCACTGTTCCAGGCATAAGGTAAGAAGTCTGTGCTACGGCAGACATGAGCGTGAAGATGAGGTACACTGATCCAGCCTTAGGGACCACGTAGGTCATGGCCTGGAGCAGCACGTGACCACTGCTCAGGAGCGAGCTGCCCACTCTACCTTTCCTATTCCATACCCTGTCCTCCAAGTGCACACCTGCCCCTGCCCCAGGCCTGGAGAAACCCTGTGGGCAGTGTCTTGTTCCATTTCCTGTTGTCATGATAAAATATGCTAACAAAAGCAGCTAAGGGGAAAAGAGGTTTGCTTTAGCTCACAGTTACCAGGAAGCAGGGTGGCAGGGGCTTGAGTAAAGCCAAGAGAAGTGAGCAATAATTTTTTTTTGTAGGATCTCACTATGTATCCTTGGCTGTCTTGGAACTAGCTGTGTAGACCAAGTTGGCCTTGAACTCACAGAGATCTGTTTGCCTCTGCCTCCTGCATGCTGGGCCCAGAGCAATCAATTAATGCCCACATGCCTGTGCCCAGCTCTCCTGCTCTCTCTGCTCTGATGCAGCTTGGGATCCTCTTGCCTAGGGAATGATGCCACCCACAGGAGATGCATATTCCCACTTCAATTAATCAATATAATCTCCCAAAGACATTCTTACAGACCAACCTGAGACTCTCTTCCCACATGAGTCTAGATAGTATCAATGACAATTAAAATGAACCATGACAGGCACTGCCACCTGTCCGTTTATTGCTCATACCAGAAAGTCTTGCACAGGATTAAGAAGAAAAGTACAATGCTTGTATCACTAACCCCCAGAGGAAAATACCATTTATATTGTGCATGTTTGCCCAGACTCTTAAAAAGCAGATGTCCCTCTTAGCTCCTGTCCACAGTTTCAGTTACCCACGGGTGACCAGTGTCTAAAAATATGGCATGGAAAATTCCAGGAATAAATAAGTCAATGTTTTAAATAACTTTTATGACAGTATATCATTACAATTACCGTGAATCTCTGATTTATAAAGTAAACATCAGGGGAAAGAACACACTGGGAGTATGGAACCTAGCTAGTGTCAGGCAGCCACTGGGGATACTAGATGTAAGAGTATGTCATAGCAAACCTCATAGGTGGTCCTGGAAACCCTGCCTCTATGCCTCTCCACTATGCCCTAACTCCGTTTGTGGGGCTAACTATGATTCTACCTTCTCTGACTAGATTGTTAGACACAGTAACTGCTCTTAGCATCTTCCTGGAGCTCTCTCCTCCCTCTGTCCCCCTCTTCTGCCCACCCACAAAAGTGGCCTTTTCCAAGTCCACATCTGATCACGTGATTCTACTATTTAAAAGTCTCCAAGGCCTGCATGTGGCTTGTGCCTTGGCCCTATCTCAAGACCAGTGGTGACCTGGCCCCAGCTCAGTTTCTCCTGCTACTCGGGGCAACCCTCGCTCTCTCGCCAGACAGAAGACTTTCCATTATCATCGTGTAGACACAAGGATGAGAGGGTCCCTCAAAAATGCTACTGGGGCCTGAGCTGGTACTTCCTGTGTGACCAGCTTGGAGCCTCCTGGTGCAGATTTCCCATGGTTCCCATACTCAGTTCCTCTACCCTTTGCATGTTCTGCAACCTCTGCCTCGGTGTGCTGTCCTTATCCAACTTGTTAACTCCTGGTTTTGCCTCGAGACCCAACACCTCCCCTTAGAGGATGGTTAGTCTTCCAACACTATGAGAAAATACCCAGGACAAACATTATAAAGGCAGAAAGGCTTGTTTGGGTTTGCTGTTTTGGAGGTCTCAGTGCATGGCTGGCTGGTTATTGGCAAGGCGGCACAGCACAGCAGGGGACGTGGAATGCAGCAAAGTAGCATCCTCTTCCTCAGAATGTCCCCGATGGCCTAAGCTCCTCTCACTAGTCCCCACCTTCTAAAGGTCCATACCAGCGACCACCACAAACTGGGATCCTGCATTCAGTCCACGGGCTTCTGGGTGTCGCTCGAGATCCAGCATAGAAGAGGAGGAAAGCTCATTGTCCCGCGCCTCTCCACTATCTAGACGCTTGCTACTTCATGTAGCAGGTGTCTGAAGGTGGAGTCACAGCCTGACCACATCCCCCATCTCCCAGCCCCCTCCCCCCACCCCGGCACATGAGTGGAAAGGAGGAACACTCAATAAATGATCTGGGGTGAGCAGAGGTGACTCTTGTACCACGTGGGGTTTTCAAGCTCACAAGACAGTTCCCTTATGGAGAAAGGAGGCCTTGCCCTGCGAACTCTGACCTGTGAACTCCGAGAGGTTCCTTGAGGCCACCATCCTCTGTCTGGATCTGCCAGCGTCTCTCCATGACAGAAAGTCCACCAGTATTTTATTCTTGTGGGTCTCACTGATCTCATGTTGAGGTTCAGGAGACTGAGTGAGCCATAGGTTGTATTATACACACGTGGGTTTGGTAGCTTTGGTTTGCTCATGCTTTGGGAACACCCACCAAGCCCATAGGCGGAAACCAAGTTCCCTAGACATGTCAGCCTCAGCTGTCCCCTCCACTGTCCTTTTAAAACGTGCATCACTAGGGGACCATACTAAAAGTCAGGGGCCTGTGAGCATTGCTTTGTGTCCCCAGGACCGCCTGTCCGCAGTTTCAGAAATACGAGTTTGGTGCCTGCACAGGCATCCTGGCCTCACTGGAAGAGTACTCAGAGCAGCTGGAAGACATGGTGACCTTCATCCTGGACTGCAGCTTCTCCATAGATGAGGCCTTGGAGCAGGCAGGGATCCCCAGAAGAGACCCAGCAGGTCCCAGTCTTGCAGGAGCATACAAGGTAAGGCCACACCCCTGGACAGAATGGCTTGAAAATGTAGATGGAGTTGTATTTTTCTGTGGTGGAGAGAAATTGGTACAGGAAGCAGAAACCCTAAGGTCAGCCCCTGCTCAGTCCTCCTCCCAGGTAGAGTCATTGGTCTCCAAGCCAGCCTCTCTCCCTCTCACCTCTGGTACGGCTGTAGCATCCAGTGTAGTCCCTTTGAGCAGTTGTTACAGCTGAGTCAATCAGAGCCATTTGGGGAGAGAGAGAGAGAGAGAGAGAGAGAGAGAGAGAGAGAGAGAGAGAGAGAGAGAGAGAGAGAGAGAGAGTGCATGCGTGTGTATAAGTGTGTGTCAACCAGTGTTTTTCAAGGTCAGTATACCTTGTTTCCTGTTAAATTCCATGTATTTGGAGAAGGGATTGACATGGATTGTGCAATGCATGTGTGGAGGTTGGAGGAAAACTTAAGGAAATCATTTCTTTTGCTTCCACCAAACTCGAGTCACCAGGCCTGGCAGCAAGCGCCTTACCTGCTGAACCGCTTCACTGACCCCACCTTGGTTTTGAGACAAGGCCTCTTCCGGACCTGGGGATCGCTGGTTAAGGCTAGGCTGGCGGGCTGAGAGCCGTAGAGATTCTCTTGTCTCCATCTCAACAGTGCTAGAATTGCAAGCACAGGGTGTCACCATGCCCAGAGTGGTGACACTGGAGATTAACAAAGACAGAAAGGTGGCCTCTCCCGGGACAGGACTGCTGTTGGGGACTGTCCACGGCTAGGCGATCAGCTCTTCTTCCTGCTGACAGCAGTCAAGTGGGGGAAAGAGCAGTCCTTGCTCTGCTGCTCCCTTCCCTGATGCTGTTGAGACAAGTCTGAGCACTCACTCTCCAGATCAGTGGCCTCCAGGGCCCCTTGCGAATGCCCAGCCTCCAAGACCCTGTGCGGATGGCCAGGCCCCAGGGCCCTGTGAGAACGCCCAGCCTCCAGGCTGCCCTGCTCACAGTGACTAGACATTTCATCTTGAGCACTGTTTGTTACAGTGTCCCCTTTGGCTCCTGTCAGAGAGGCCTGGATTGCATCAGGTCAGAAACAAGATTGTCCACATTCGGCACAGCCCTTCAAGGGACGATAGCAAAGGGTGAGGACAGAGCCCTGGGCACTGGCTGGGACCCACTGTTGTCTGTAGAGGTTAGAACTGGGATAGCCTCAGACTCATCAGCACAGCCCCTCATTTGAAACGAAGAAAATAAGACCTAAAGGGACTTACCCAAGTCCCAGAGCCAACTGGAACCACACTTCTGGCTGGCGTGGTGACTGAATAATACTTGCACAGAGGCACGGGTGTCCACAGGAGATGTCAACCACGGCCTGTCATTTATCCATGACAGCTCACTGTCCCCTCTCCCCATGGTTACCATACAGCTTTCGGTCAGTAGCAACCCCACCCCACTGCCCTTAGAACCCAAGGGAGGTGGCTGTACCGCCTGTTGAGTTAGACGGATGACCTTGATAGGTCTAGACAGAGGCATCTCAGCCCCTAGCAGCACTGTCTGGCTTTGTAAGTGGCCTACACGGGTCCCCTCTCTGTCCCAGTTGCTGTCATAGGGACACCAGGTTGACAGCACACCAGAATTTCATCCTGCTGTTGCCAGCGTGGTAACAGCAAGCCAGTTAAGTGGCAGCCACGGTTGTCCCAGTGAATCATGATCCTGGCTGTGTCCTAAACTTGCAGGGGGGAAGAAATGTGCCACAAGCAAAAGTCGTGCAGGTCACCCTGTGCAGACTCTACCAAGGGAGACCTGGGGCCTCCAGGGACAGGTGCCAGGGACAGGTGCCTCCCCTGTGGAATCTAGAAGTGGAGCACTGGGTTATCTGCTCCCTTTTGCCTTAGAGGCCCATAAGGGTGTGTGTGTGTGTGTGTGTGTGTGTGTGTGTGTGTGTGTGTGTGTGTGTGTGTGTTGTAAACCTCAGCTGCAATTGAACATTTCCTTCAGTTCTGAATGTTGGCAACCAAAGCTGTTGGATCAACAGATCCTGTAGCATTGTGACTGATAAAGTATTTCACAGATAGATTCATTATCACCGTACAGTTCTCAGACTCTCAGAGACAACCCATACACTGACACTCCAAAATGACAATGCTAGTAGATCTGCCATCCTGTCCTCTTCGCTGTCCATGGGAAAGCATGCTGTTTTCCCCATGGAATGCTCCGGTGACTACATTTGAATGTTTGAAATAGCATTGGTTTCCTTTGGGATATTGAATTTTCTTCTCTTCCCCTCGCCTCTTGGGCCCTTGCCACGTGTTTATGTTTTAAGGCAGGCTCTCACTGTGTAACCTAGGCTAACCTTAGAACTGAACTCCCTGAGTAGTCATGGCTCAAACTCTCCATTCTCCTGCCTTAGCGCCCCGCCCACCAAGTGCTGAGATTACAGACACATGGCACCCATGAATTTTCTTTTATGTGGTTAAAATATTACTCTCAGCTTAGAAGATGTGTCAAATGTTGACAGGTTTTAAAAAATTAAGAACCCCCACCCCTGTTTTGATTTACTTGTTATTGACCAAGCACCCCTCCTGTGTGACTCCTCAAATTAGAAGGCGTGTTTCTACAGCAGCTGCTGGAACCTCTTGCTTCACGCAGCTTCTTGAGCTGTGAGTACTGGGGCTTAAATCTGTGTTAATGCCTTCTTTTCTTCCCCCTACATGTTCATTTGTCAGACAGCAGTGCCATGTGCCGCCATTGCTGGCTTCTGCTGCCCTCTGGTGGCCACAATGAGACCCGTTCCCAAGGACAAGCTGGAAAGACTCTTGCAGGCCACTCACTCCCTGGGAGGACAGCAAGGACAGCCCATCCACATCGGCGACCCAGGTCAGTGTCCACAAGCTGCGATTCCAACACGGGCCTGAGAAGCATCTAGGAGCTTATGCTGTTCTTCGGGGAGTCTCAGGGGTAAGGACCTGGGGTCCATACCAGATGACCTGTGGTTTAAAACAGCACGACCAACACGCTTCATCTTGAGGGTTTGTGATACACACACAACTCCTGTGAGCTTTGCATAATCCCTGAATCATGTTGTATGGGACTCTTTGCTTCAAGTTGTCCTCTGACCTCTACATGCATGTTATGGTACATGTGTTGCTCATGATCATGCACATACATCACACACATACACACACACACATCCACATCCACATATGCACACATGCACAGCGTGCGCATGCACACATGATAATATTAATAAAAAACTCAAATTTACATTTGAATTGAAAGCCACGAGTATTAACTTAGCCTGAGAGTGAATGAACGGATTCAAGGGTGAAGGTCAAAAGTCTAGATGCTGCCCAGGCCTCTTGGAGCTCCCGGGGGGCCTGAAGGGAGCTTGGGGTTGGCCTGGGTGAGAGCCAGAGTCTGCGTACTTGTAGTCAAAAGAATCATCAACAACCTGACAGTCTATGAATGTAGCATCAGCACTATTAGCCTTCCTCAGGGCCACCCAGAGGATGTCTACAGGCTTGTCTTCCTAATGTGAACGTTCTGACACACCCATCTTGGTTGTCTTCATGTCGATGACTGCTGGCCAAGCTAGGGCTACTGTAGTGGTAACGTTACAGCTGTGTAACTTAGTCAGTCTGTATCAGGATGGCACATACTGCTGGCTGTGTTAGGACTCTGTGCTACAAGGCCAGTATTGAGCTAGACACACCATAGACTCCCTCCAGAAACCACACCATGCAATTTGAGATGTCAGCCTGACTGTGCCAGTCACCATGGGCCCTAAGTTACAGGACATCCTTGTGTGTTAAAACTCCAGGCCCTGGCCATTACTACCTCCCCTCCTCCTGCTCCTGTCCGTCTAAGATAATGCTATAACTGCCGTTTCTTTGGGAGGGAGATATGTAATATACCCAGTGCGCTCATGTGTATGACACTGACCAGGGGAATCCTGTTTTCTTTTTCCATGTGCAGGACTTTTGGGAATCAAGGCAATTTCCAAACCCGACTATGGGAATTATGTGGAGTGTCGGCCCGGGGACGTCCCAGTGTTCTGGCCTTCAAAGCTGACCAGTCTGGAAGCAGTCAGCAGCTACAGTATGTTGGGGCACAAAGGTGCACCTATCTTGATCTCAGATGTAGCCCAGTGGATCTGGAGTTCTCAAAAGCACAGGTTTACTGATTAATAAGCTTAAACTCAGAAAACACAGGCCTAGAGTTGGGAATGTAGTACAGTGGAAGAGTGCTTTCCCAGCATGCCTGAAGTCACCCATGTTTAACTCCCAGCCCTGGAAAACAAGTACAGTCATAGTCTAAGTGTCTACAGTGTCTGCCACTTTCTCTGTTTAATCCCAGGGCCGAGTTGCTGCACCATAGCAGCTGGTCTTTAGCCCAAGAACCTTTTGATTAAATCCTTTTCCACCTGCTGAAGCGTCACAGCTGGATCTAAAGGAAGAACCAATCTTCAGCTTGACCTTTTGAGATTAAAAGAGACTTGAGAGCAAAAGGATGACGCCAAGAAACAGTTGAATTTTACAATGAAGTCGTTTTTTGGTATCTCTTGAGGACCAGTCCCGGAACCCCTCAATACCAAACTCTAGCTTCTGCCAGAAGAGGGCAGTGTTGACACGTCCATTCTTCTGTACACTTGAACTCATTGTTAGAATTCCTAATGCAATACATTTGCGAATAGATGTTCTGTTATATTTTCAAATTTTTAACTTATTTTATGTGTATGAATATTTTGCCTGCATCTATGTATGTGCCACATGTGTGTGCCTGATGCCAGCAGAGGCTAGACCTGAAGTTACAGGCAGTTGTGACCAGCTATGTGGGTGCTGGGAACCAAACCCAAGTCCTCTGCAAAAGCAGCGAATACTTTTAACTGCTGAACCATCTCTCCGTGCCCATTATATTGTGTTTTTAATATAAAAAGAAAAAGAAAAAAAACTATGTCTTCACTACAGGCACAAATATTCTCCGTTTGAATATTTTCAGCCAACAGTTGGATGAACACTAAGAACTAAAAGCAATATCATCAGCAGTTTCCCTGCAACACAGAGTAGGATTCCCATGAATAGACATAAGGGGGCACCCCCAGGCTCCCAGTAACAGGAATATGATGGGTATATGATAGTAACCATTGCAGTCCATATCACAGACATTGGAAAATTCTGGGTCAGTTATTCCGCTATAAAGAGTCAAGTTTAGTGTCATTTTAACATCATTCCTGAGAGCTCAGTTATCAGACAGAATATCTTCCTGATATGGCAACATAGATAGCCCAATCCACGGCGATTCTAATGTTTATTTAAAAGTCCATGCACCGGCCGGGCAGTGGTGGCACACGCCTTTAATCCCAGCACTCGGGAGGCAGAGGCAGGCGGATTTCTGTGAGTTCGAGGCCAGGCTGGACCGACAGCCTCCAAAACAATACAGAGAAACCCTGGCTCGTAAAACCACAAAAATTTTTTTAAAAGTTCATGCACCGAGTACCTACTGTATGCCACGTGTGAGCTCAGATCTTAAGAATGCAATGCTGTGTCCTCGAGGAGCTTGTGGTCATTTCTAGGTATGGAATGGGAAAGGGGGCAGGTATGCACACATCCATATACCGGCAGTGTCTTAGTTAGGGGTTCTATTGCTGTGAAGAGACACCACGACTACAGCAACTCTTAGAAAGGAAACATTTAACTGGAACTGGCGTACAGTTCAGAGATTCAGTCCATCATCCTCATGGTGGGGCAGGGCAGAGCGCAGGCAGACATGGCCCTGGAGGGGGAACTGAGAGTTCTACATCATGTACAGGCAACGTGAAGTGGTCTGAGACACTGGGTAGTGTGGCTTATGCACAGATAAGATCTCAAAGCCCACTTCCACAGTGACACACTTCCTCCAACAAGACCACACCCATGCCAACAAGGCCACTCCTCCCATTAGTTCCACTCCCTTTGGGGGCCATTTTCTTCTAAAGCACCACAGACCAAAAATTCCCCCTCTAGCACAGCAGGCTCGTTTCTCTCCCGCCATCCACCATGGGATGTGCTTGTTAAGCAGTTCTCACAGCTGAAGCATCCCAGCACACCCTAGCCCTCTTAAATCTCATGGTGTATTGATTGCGGATGAGAAGACACGCCATCACCAGTCAGAGACAACAGCGAATCATTCTCACTCCTCAGCATGCAAGTTTTACTAGCAATGGAGTCCCTGCTGCACACCCCATTCAACTGATGGGGGCAAAGCCTTGTGTCCCATTCTGAGCCCACTGCTCTTAAGTGTACCTGGCCTTCAAGTGATCACTTTTAGGTGCTGTCTGACACACACACACACACACACACACACACACACACACACACATAAAGAGAGAGAGAGAGAGAGAGAGAGAGAGAGAGAGAGAGAGAGAGAGAGGTAACCATTCCTCAGACTCAATAGATGTACCTACCCTTCATAGGTCACACGCAAAGCTTATGTGTCTATGAGTAAATACCCCTTTTGAGTGTTGGCTGACTCTGACTTTCTATTTAATCCAAGCAATGTTACAGTTTCTGTGAGATCTAATACACCGTTTACTCATCTCATTTATTTAACACCTACTACGTGCAAGACATGATATGGGAATCTGAGGTAGAGAAACAACGGTGCCTCATCTTGAGGAGCACACACCTGGGTGGAGGGACAGTAGTCTAACACAACAGTGATACAGACCAAGGAAGGCAGAAGGAAGAAAGTCAATATGCTAAGTAGTAGGTGCCCAGAAACCAGACACAAGGACAAAGAGATTATTTGGTGTGGGTCTCACTAATGCGAACCATTACTGAGGGCTTACTCAGTACCCTGCACTGCTACTTGTACCTGTACTTCCCGGCTCAGCACTGACAACAAGCAGACAAGGCGCGGCCATTATTTTATAACCTAACAGATGTGTGTAGAAAGGGTAGGGTCACTCCTGAAACCTGAATGCATCATCCATGCTACAGTCACTTCTGAGGAGGACGCAAGTGTACTGCACAGGGCTGTAGCCTAGCAGGGGGAGGGTTTTGTTGCTATTGTTGTTTTAAAGAAAAATATAAACGCTATGAGAAAACAGAAACTCCACACGTAGAGGGTACCCCATCTAACATCTGCTACCAGGTAAAGTAAGTGGCCTCATGCACTGAAGGGTTCGGTCTGTGCTTCCTGTTATCTGTAATGTGATGGACAGAATCTCTGAGAGCTCGTGCTCCAGCTGTGGCCGCACCTCACTTTTTTTTTTTTGCCATACTCATCTCCACTTTCCTAAAAGGTGGGGACAGTTGTTTAAATAGAACGTAGTCTAGCCATAAGCCAGCTCATTCTCTCCTTGGTGCCAGCATATGGCAGAAGGGATTCTGTTGACAGCTGGTGCCGGGGCCATCTTACCTTCCCTGGCCACTGTGGATTGGTCTTGGTGGGGTGACATCACAGCCCTCCCTGTGTGTGTTCCAGAGGCTCCACTGGCTTTCACCAGCACTCCAGGCTGCACTGTGATGATCCTGAAGGACACTGTGTCTCCAGCCAGTTGTCTGACTCCAGAGATGGTTCCAGAAGTCCACGCCATATCCAAAGACCCTTTGCATTACAGCATAGTGTCAACCACTGCTGTTCAAAAGATCAGAAAGCTAGAGTCCATAATCGCCATAGACCCAGGTAAGAACGAGGTATTCGAGGCTGGGGACATGGTTCCGTGGGGAAAGTGCCTGACACTCAAGCATGAGGACCGGAGTTCAGAACTCAAGAACTCATGCAAAACTTTGAGCATGGTAGTACACATCTGTAATTCCAGTACAGGGCGTGTGTGTGTGTGTGTGTGTGTGTGTGTGTGTGTGTGTGTGTGTGTGTGTGTCTGTGTGTCTGTGTGTGTGTATATATATGTATGTAAGAGAAAGAGAGAGAGAGAGAGAGAGAGAGAGAGAGAGAGAGGGAGGGAGGGAGGGAGAGAGAAATTGGTAGATCCCTGGAGCTTCTAGCCACACAAAGTAGCCAAATCGATGAGCTCCAGGTTCAGTGAAAGACTTGTCTCAAAATTAAGGAGTTGAGTGATTGAGCAAGACACTTAACATTGACCTCTGGCTTCTATACACACATTGCACACACATCTGCATGCACACCTACATATACCACACACACAATAAAATATAATGAATAAATAATGAGTAATTAAAACATTTACACCTGCTGACTGAAGGCTTCCATGAAAGAGGCATGATATAAATTGTACAAACTATCCACAGTGTAATTCCTGAAAATGCTCACACTGGCCTATAAGGTGTTTCAGTTGGCTAAGACCGTTGTAGCCAAGACTGAGTCCCATCCCTAGGACCCACATACTGGAAAGAGAGAACACTTCACATAATGTTCTCTGACCTCCATATGCACAGACACATATAAATTTTTAAACTTAATCAGTTTTTTTTAAAAACTTATACCAAGTAAGATTCCCAGAAAGACCAGAAGCAAATTCACCAAAACGCTGACACTGAGGGCCCATCCTAGTCACAGTTCTATAGCTGTAAGGAGACACTACGACCTAGACAACTCTTATAAAAGAAAGCATTTAATTGGGTGCTGGCTTACAGTGTCGGACGCTTTGTCCATTATCACCATGGGGAGCATGGTGGCAGGCATGGCATGCATGGTGCAGGAGAAGCAGCTGAGAGGAGGGGAGCTGGTGTGGACCTTTGAAACCTCAAAGCCCACCCCCAGTGACACAATTCCTCCATCAAGGGTGTTGTGCCCACTCGTAGAGGACCCCAAGGCTTCAAGGAGCTTAACGACACCAAATGCAAGTACAAGGTTTGTTTATTTCCGAAAACCAGCTAGCTGGGGCTTAACTCTGTTGGGAGAGTTGAAGCCCCAAGCTGCAAATGCAAGGCACTTTTAAAGAAAAAAGAGGTGAGGGGAGTCCCGAGGAGTCCGCAGGGTTCCCATGGTTACAGAGATTATTTAGCACACCAAGTTTTTATACAAGGTTGTCATGAGATGAAGAGCCTTGAGAAGACAATAACTGCCATTTGGTGAGGTAGAATTAATTGGCACATCTATGGTCTGGGATTCCACAGCCAGAGCACATCCTGCTATTGTGGGCTAAGGGAGTAGCTGTAGATGCTGTTGCAGCTGCTCGTGGGTCTGAGCTTCTGATCACGTAACCCCCCTCACTTGGTTGGGGACTTTTATTCTCCTTATTAGGTTTCATCACTACATTCTTCCCCTGGTCTCTGGGTATTGTTTTCTCCATCCGTTTTCCTCAGTGGTCCAGAAGACATCAAAGGCCACTCCTCCTCATCCTTCTAATTCTCTCAAGCAGTTCCACTCCATGGTGACCAAACATTCAAATATAAGAGCCTGTGGGGGCCGTTCTCATTCGAACCACCACAGGGGCTGTAGGTAGGCGCATTATGGGTGACTTTTGTTTTCTTCATGGCTGATGTTTTTCTAAATCCCAACACTGAGCATGTGAGCCAGTTTATCAGCTGGGTGAATTGCCACCCAGAATCAAATGAACTGCATAAGTAACAAATAAAAGGGCCAGGGCTACAGCTAGCCTGGAACGCATGGGCCTGACTTCAGCCTCCAGCACCAGGCATGCAGGGGGGGGGGGCAGGGGGCGTTGTTAGAAGCTATGGAGATAACTCAGTAGTTGAGCATGTTCGCTTATGCAGAGGACCAGGGTTCGACTCCTAGCACTCACATGGTGGCTAATGACTGTCTGTGACTCCAGTTCTAGGGATCCAGCGCCCTCTTCTGGTCTCCATGGGCACAGCATGCACATGGTACACAGACATATATGCAGGCAAAACACACACATAGAAGTAAATAAATTGTTGAGGAGGAAAAGCCAGAGATATGGGTGTTCCTAAATAAGCAACTACTGCTGTTTTTCAAAAGTTGTCATTGTAACTGTGATGCTTGTCTGGAGTCCCAGTGCTTGGGAGATGGACACAGGGGGATTGGGAGTTCAAGGTCATCCTCAACTATGTAATGAGTTTGAGGCCAGCCTCAGCTACAGGAGACTGACTCAAGAAAACAAACAGCAACAAAGTTACAAATGTATTTAGTAATATCCCCAGTCCCCCCCCTTTCTGTGCCAATGCCCTGGGGATAGAGAAAAACATACATACATACATACATACATATGTGTATATGTGTGCATGTAGACACATGCACCACCAGCTAGCTTCCTTCCTTCCCGTTTTGCTTTTTGGTTTTTTAAGGCAGGGTTTCTCTATTTTAACAGCCCTGGCTGTCCTGGAACTCACTCTGTAGACCAGGTTTGCCTTGAGCTCACAGAGATCTGCCTGCCTCTGCAACCTGAGTGCTGGAATTACAGGCATGTGCCACCACCCGGTTTAGCCACCAGCTTTCTAAGCATGGGACAAGGCTGGTGTAACTTTCCAGGGAGCTGTTGATTCTAATTAGGTCTACAAAGAGTTAGTTGAAAACTTCTCTCTTCTGGGTTGGTCTGCATCTAGGTGATAAGTGCTAATCCCCGGTAGCCAGCAGAGGGCGCTGTGTCATCCACAATTATGAATAGTATGGGTAGTCCAATGAGACAATTGCTGGGTAATTCCACCTCAGTTTCATCAGTGTAACAATACTACAGACAATTACACCTCCATGCCAAGGTTGTGCTAAGTAGCTGTGCTATAGTTACTCACTCACTGTTGGGCATGAGTAAATGCATGTTTCCATCTTAGTAAATGCTCTGGAATCCCTATGAGACAGTTTGTATTAACTTTATTTAGTAAAAGAAACCAAAGCATATAAGGTTAAGAAATACCCAGTCCACACTCCCAGTAGATGGTTACAGAAGATATTGAACCCTTGTCCACAGGCTGTGCTGGCCATGGCTTATACATGCTGTATAAATTAGAATCTGAAATATAAATTGTGTCATTTTCTTGCCTGGGCAGTTAAAAAGTTCTCTAGCATTCCTTAGAATATCCCATCCCTCCTGTACCTTCTCATGAGAGATGTCCTTAGAACTGGAGGGTAGCCACACCTCAAATATCTGGCAGTGTCTGGGACTAACAAGGCCTCTCCCAAAGTCCCACTGATTTCCTCCCAGACAGTCTTACCCAAGCTGATGGAATCTCTACTTAACATGGGGTCATGAGGAAAGATGAGTTATTAACTCTGAAATCAGCTTTGGGTTTAAAAGAAGGAGCTGACGGTAGATTTACTGCCCCCTCTGTTCACCCATTGCTTCCTAAGGGTGGGCAGAAAGGTCAGACACAATCCCTCCCACAGGCGCTCCTGCAGCCTGGGATGGAGCTTGAAGCATGAGTCCCAGAGGAGTCAGATTTATGACGGTCTGATGTGCCGATTTCATCTGTGAAAAGCCATCTTTAATCCACAAGAACAATAGATGATTTCGATTCCCACTCAAATAGACAGATGTAAGATTAATGAGGGCTACTGTGCACTGGCCGTTACTCACTGAGCTTATTAATAGATCCACTCAGTCATTTTTAAGAGGACATTGACTTGCATTTGAGGTGTCTGGAGCATGTAGAGAGTGCAGGATTTATAGTAATGGCTTTGGCACTGGTAATAAAATCATCGGATGTACACACCGCATTCAGTTGCCCAGACTCTCCCTTGTTCTCTGTCTAGTGCTCATCACACTCCAGGAAACACGCTACACCCAGCTTTGTTTTACAGAATGCTGCTTTTCTTCCTCCTCTTGTCATCAGTGCTTCATGTTCATTGTGGAAACACCAGAAAACAGAGGAAAACAGTATGGATGCTCGGGCATGCCTCTGATGCCTGTATTTAGGCGACTAAGGCAGGAGGATCATTCATTCAAGCCCGGTGCTTGATCCAGTCTCAAAAAGGAATCTAATTAATAAAACTAAGTTATAGAATGAAATTGTATGAAAGTGGAAGGATCAATAAAAATTACCAGAATCCTGGGGCCTGATGAGATGGCTCAGTTGGTTATGTGTGTGCCGTGTCAGCAGAGGGAGGGGCTTAGTCTCAAGCACACATGTAGGAAGCAGGGACAGCAGTGTGTACCTGGAATCCCAGGGGCAGACAGGTGGATCCTTGAGACTCACTGGTCGGTCAGCCTAGCCAAATCAGTGAGCTCCAGGTTCAGAGAGAGAGAGATGAAATGGAGTAAGCAGTCAAACACAACCAATAAATTTTAATAGGCCTGTGTCTGTCATTAAAGTCCTTTTCTTTGGTCTCAAATATTTGCATACAGGAATATATTTACTGGAACCCCACCATGATACTATTTTAGGGCTTAAAATAAAAATAAATTATGACTTTCCATATCATGAAATGATCCCTACATTTACATACTGTCTGTCTGAGACGGAGTCTCACTTTATAGCCCAGGCTAGCTTCTGAACTCTGCAATCCACCTGCCTCAGTATCCCTGGAGGACACCACACCCAGCTCATGACATCCTTTTTAATGTTTGCGTACAATTTCATTGGGTGAGTGTGCCGCCATTTGACTAATAACCCATTATTGGATACAGTGTACGCCCTTCCCACTAAACTTTACACACACCAGCGACGACTCTATGAGAGTTGCTGAAGACCACATGAAAGAATTGTAAAAAGTCTAAGAAAAAAAAATCACCTTCTAGGCCCCAACTTCCAGTTCCCTCTCCAACAACTAGTAGTTGAGAGTTTCTGTCCCCACAGACTCCCACCATCTTTCATACAGGAAAACCCAGACGTAGGACCAAGGATGCTTGGCTATCCTGTGCCAGGAAATGGAATCGTTCCTGTCACCATCTGGAGTGGTGCCTCCATAGTGGGGATCCAAAAACCACTTAATGCTCTGTGAGCCTCAGCTGCAAGCCAGTGCCCCTGTACTCGCCTTTGGCCCGCTCTGAGGCAGCTTAGCTGGGGTGGACGTTCTGAGTCACACTCTGCCTCCATATGGCACTTGTAGAGACGTCAGGGTAGACAGAGGCATGACAGAATGCACAAGAGTCAGGAAGTGATGTTGCTCAACCGGGCCCAGCTGGGCAATCTTAGCATAGCTGTCCGCCCCCCATCTGTATCCCCTGGACTAACTGGGTTCCTCTACAGAGGCAAGGAATGGCCCCCTATTTGCTCAACTCCTCCACTAGAAGACAGTCTGCATCTGTCTCTATTGCAGCAGGCACCGTCCAGAGAGAACAAAGCTGACCCCTTAACGGGCAACCTTCCCACAACTGGGACAGAAGCCAGTGAACAAGGGGGTAGCCTCTGGGAGGGCAGTTCTATGGCACATACTCCACGGCTCTAGAGGCTCTCAAGCAAGACAGAGCTCCAGTTGCCTTAGGGGTTAACTCGCTCACTCTCAATCCTTTTGTGGTTTTCTGGGTGTCTTCTGTGTTTTCCAGTGTTACAATCTCCTAGAACAATTGCACCCCAGATCTTGTCTTGGGCTTGTGGAAGACTCTCCAATGAATGTGTTCTATGTCCTTTTCTCTTTATATATTCTATTTGTTAGGTTTTGCTAAGCCATTCTACCAAATGAGCCCCCACGCACTTCGCCGCCTCCATGTAACAGCGCATAACAGGTCTTCGGAGAGTTCTGGGCCAGCAGGGAGGGACTCTGCTCTACCCAACTGCTTGGGGTCCCAGCAGCCCTGCCATTATCTCATGCTGTAGCTATCAACATTTCACACAATGACAGGGTAGGTGGACTTGGTGAAACACATAGGGAGCACAGGGCCAGGCTCAGCGGGACACCCATGTCCTCATGCTCCGTGAGACAGAGCCAGCCTTGTGGCCACCCTAGCTAAGAGAGGGGTGGGAGGCAGAAAGCCCAGAGATGAGAATGCATCCCTATAAACTATTCAGTCTGTCACATCCCTCCATACTACTTCTGACCCCCAAACAGCCCAAGCCGTGTGATTCTACCACAAACACAATCATCTAAGATCTCTTTATTTTTGTGATTTCAGGTAACCGGGGGATCGGGCACCTGCTCCGTAAAGATGAGCTGCTGCAGGCTGCTCTGTCACTGTCCCATGCCCACTCAGTGCTAGTCACCACCGGATTCCCCACGCACTTCAATCATGAGCCCCCAGAGGAGACAGATGGCCCACCGGGGGCCATTGCTTTAGCTGCCTTCCTGCAGGCTCTGGGGAAGGAGACCTCCATGGTGGTAGACCAGAGAGCCTTGAACTTGCACACAAAGCTTGTTGAAGATGCCATTAAACAAGGTGAGTATGGCATGGGCTCAAGCCATTTCCTCAAGCAGGTCTTCACTGGCAGAGATTTGAGGAAATCAGTGTTTGGACCTTTAGTCGCGTACCCACTGCCAGGACTTGTCCTTAGGACAGGTGTTTTATCTCCAAGCTCAGAACAATTTTGTTATAAGCAAAGGGGTCTCGTTTTTTTTAAAGATACCGAGGCTCCTGGAAGTCCAAGTGTTCAAACCAATCCCTGTTGTCCACACAGTGACCAGCTCCTACCACTAGTCAATGCCCTGAAGGGTCAAAGCTATGTGAACCCATGCTACCCAGAACAGTGAGGATGACTCCCCTCTGCCAAGACACCCTCAGCCTAGTAGGGACAGGATTTAAGTCCTTTGCCTCCTTGGAGATACATGTTTCTTAGTGAACATGATATTCCAAGTTCTCCCCCCCCCCGTCCCCCCCTCCCTGTTTCTCTGTGTAACAGCCCCAGCTGTCCCGAAACCAGCTCTATAGACCAGGCTGGCCTCGAACTCACAGAGATCCGCCTGCCTCTACCTCCCAAGTGCTGAGATTAAAGGTGTGCCCCACTGTCCCGCGCTACCGTCTCGCCAGCAAGAACGACGCAGAACACTCGGATCCTTCTGCAGTAAAGCTTTAATGCATCTTGAGAGATAGATGATCAGCTTCTTAGAGGGAGACCCCAAGCTAAGAAACCCAGCCCCTTATATAAGCCTAGGAGCTCCGAGTGAGACGTGTAGAGCCGGGATTGGTGGTTTGCACATCACCCCAGATGACGCCACGGGAGAGGCACAGCTTAAACGGTTAACTCCAACTGACAGCAGATGTCAGCGCCATCTTCTAACGGCAATAGCGATAGCGAAGGCGGCTCCTCACACCCCACCATCGCCCAGCTGGAGATGCCAAATTTTAAAGCAGTGATCTTGAAAATGCACCCTCCATGTCCCCTGTCCCTTCCCTCAGCTTCTTGGCACCATCTCCCGAGAAGCCACCTGCACCCCATCTCAGATCTCGGTTACAGAGCAACCAGGGTGTTACAAGAGTAGAGGGCAGGTTGTTCCGTCTATGGAGACAGAAGCTGAAGATCAGTTACGGGGTAAATTCCACAGTTGAAGCTCTCAGGGAAACCACTGTGGGGACAAAGGAGCCAGGGTTACACCCCGTGACCTCTCATCCAGAGGACAAGAGGAGAGGAATCCTAGGTTGATCAGCAAGTGAGAACAGGAAACCAAGGGACAGGTGACCGTGTCAACTCTGCTCCAGGGCCAGCAGCAGGTGCTTCCCGACACTGCACTGTGACCATGTTTAGCTCTTGTTCTCCAGAGAGAGCTGAGCCCTGGTCCTCTCCTGTGAGCTCAGCTGAGTCACTCTCAGGGACTCGGAGCTGTCTGGGCCACACAAACACCATGGAGGATACCGTTGCTTTATTAGATTCTGCAGAACTTTTGTTAAATGTGGATGAAGCAAGTGACACAACTGTGCCTGTTTGTGAAAACTATTTCAGTCTTTTTGCTGACACCTAGGAAATAAGGGGGGGCATAGTCTTTTCTCCCCGCTCATGCACAAGGCCAGCAAGGATTGCACTCTGTAGCTCCGAGGGAGCATGTCTCCTGACCCATCTTGCAGAGGTCTTTCTTGCGTGTTTTCTCAGACATGTGGTTCAGGTACCTGCCTGGGCTCTCTGGAGCCCCCTCCCCCATGACTAGAATTTGACACTAGGGTGGCCAGGGAAGTGAGTTATACCTTTGCTTTGCACCAGATCCCAGCCGGGTCATTGGTTGGCAGGTATCAAGGCCATCATGGTGCATGCCAGCCATGTGGGTAGGTGGGCATTACCTTACAGAGGAGGTGCCGAGGGAGCTCTAAGTCCTGGGTCCAGGGACACTGCCCAGGGTGCTCTGTCAGCCATCTTTTCTTCTGCTTGACAATTTGCCCTGGGCCCATGAATAAACCAGGGTTCTTCCCCAAACTGCTGAGAGACAGACTAGTGGAAACCAAATGAATTTCAACTTGGGGAGATAGGTTTATATTTTCCAGGTAATCTACAACAATGTGTATTATTTGTATAATCACAAAATGTTAACTTTTTAAGAGTCAATGTCACTTTGTAAGGCCATTACAAGTACCTAATCCAAATCTCTGGGACTCTGCTTCAGTTGTCACTGGTCACCTCCAAAGGAATGCTTAAATGGAGAGGGAACTGGTAAGATCTGGAGGTAGAAATTTAATGGCTATTTTTTTTAAGTTTAAATTTAGGTTAGAAACATAGTTGGTTCACAAGTCAGTTCCAGGTCCCTCTCCATTTCCCTCCCCTCCTCCTGTGTCCTCCCCCCAACTCTCCCATTATCCCCTCATTTCCCCAGGGAGGGTGAGGCCCTCCATGGGGGTGTCCATAGACTGTCATAGACCCTCCCCCCAAGAGTTTAGGGTGAGAGTTCATCTCACATTGTTGGATGGGAGTCCAAAGTCCATGTGTATACTCGGGATGAATACTGATCTACTGCCCAAGGCTCAATAGATTACCTAGGCCTCCTCACTGACACCCCCATTCAGGGGGTCTTGATCTGTCCCATGTTGGATTCCCAGGCATCAGCCTGGGATTTAAGAGTTAACCCTTGTCAGGTCAGCTGTTTCTGGAGGTTAAACCAGCCCAGTCTTAACTCCTTTGGTCATCAGTCCTCCCTCTCTGTTACTGGCTTTCTTGAGTTCAGCTCAGTACTTAGCCGTGGGAGTCTGCCTCTTCTTCCATCAGCCACTGAATTGAGTTTCTGTTTCCCAGACTCTCTGGCCATGGTATTGTAGGCTGGCACTCCCCAGATCTATGTCTAAAATCCATATATGAGGGAGTACATGCCATGTTTCTCTTTTTGTGACTGGGTTACCCTACACAGGATGGTTTCTTCTAGTGTCATCCATTTGCCTGCAAATCTCAGGATTCCATTGGTTTTTTTTTCTGCTGAATAGTACTCCATTGTGTAAATGTACCATATTTTCTCTATCCACTCTTGGGTTTAGGGGCATCTAGGTTGCTTCCAAGTTCTGGCTATTACAAATAATGCTGCTATGAACATAGTAGAACAGACATCCTTGTTGTATGAATGGGCATCTTTTGGATATATGCCTAAGAGTGGAGTTGCTGGGTCTTGTGGTAGGTTTATTTCCATTTTTCTGAGGAATCTCCATACTGATTTCCAAAGTAGCTGAACCAGTTGGCACTCCCACCAGCAGTGGGGGAGTATTCCCCTTTCACCACATCCGCATAAATTGTCTTCGGTGTTTTTGATTTTAGCCATTCTGACAGGAGTGAGATGGTATCTCAGAGTTGTTTTGATTTGCATTTCCCAGATGGCAAAGGATGTTGAGCACTTTCTCAAGTGCCTCTCAGCCTTAATGGCTGGTTTTAATGTTCCCTTGTCACAACGTAGAGTCAGTTGAGGAATTGTCTAGATCAAGTTGGCCTGTGGACTAGCATTGTCACTTAAGTTGCCTTTGGTCAGGGTGTTTTACCTCAGTAACAGAAGCTGAACTAAGACAGGACTGGAGTTGTGATGCCAATGGGTATACTGTGTCTGACCCTGATCAACAAACATCCGTGGTGTCTCTGAGCAACACTTTTCCTTTTCTGTAAAACGGAAATGATAATCACTTTATGGAATAGAATTATGAAAATTAAATGAGAGCACACATGTAAAGAGTCTGCACACTGTCCTGTGGGCATCTAAATGAGCACCCGGCACTCTTGCTGGCGATGGGCCAGAACAGACCGTCTGTTGACAAGGTATCATGGGGCATCTTGCACATTGCTCATCCCCAGGCCTATACTGGTCCAGTTCAACCCTGCATCCCCTGCCAACTCTGGAGTTTAGTCAGGACTAAAAGTAAACCTATCATCCTCTGGATTCTAACAAAGGGTTCTAGGAAGGACACCACTCAAAATGGTTGCACTCCTGTCCAAAGATGCTTTTCTCACACATGTCCTGATGTGGCTGCCCTTTGTCTTTATCCTCAAGGTGTTCTGAAGACGCAGATCCCCATATTAACTTACCAAGGCGGGTCAGCGGAAGATGCTCAGGCATTTTTGTGCAAAGATGGGGACCCCAAGTCTCCTAGGTATGTATATGGTGCCCCAGATGGAGTGCATGGGGATGGGGAAGACCACACCCTAGTAACCTTGCTGACAAGGGTTCTGCATAGCTCATCCTGTAGAAGAAGGGAAAGCCACCAGCCCAGGAAGTCAGAGTTCTGATGGGCTACATTAGCCGTGAGGTTAGGGCTTCCTAGGACATGTCTGGAAGTAGATCCCTGTCAGCAGGGAGAGATGGCACTCATCCCTGACAAAGTAAAACAAAGTTTGCAGTCTCTCAACAATGGGATCACGACAGTAGTCAAACAATTTCAACTGGGGTAGCCAACACTTTTAGGAAACAAAACAGAAATGGCATTGTAGAGTGATGGAAACTGCTCTCTTGAAACACTTCCTCCCCTCCCTTTCCTCTCTTCCTTTCTCCCGCCCGTGTGTGTGTGTGTGTGTGTGTGAGAGAGAGAGAGAGAGAGAGAGAGAGAGAGAGAGAGAGAGAGAGAGAGAGAGAGAGAGAGAGAGAGAGAGACTGTGTGTTGTGGTCAAATATTTTGAAACCCCGTTTGTAGTATGTTTCCGATTCTTTAACTTATACAGTGCTTTGCACTTTTTAACCAACCCACAATAACACGTTTTGTATTGCAAACCAGTACATGTGTGTAACTGAGATAGACATTTAAAAAAATACTGACTCTTCAATATTACAGGACTCAGAAGGGCCCTATGTGCTTTGAGGCTTTCTCTTTCAGTTTGTTCTACTACAACCCCCACCCCACGTCACCTATTCTAAATAGTGCTGCTCAGAACAGGGGCAGCTACGTATCTCTTTAAGTCCCTGTTTTTAGTTCTTTCCAGTATGTACCCAAAAGCTGAGTTTCTGCATCATATGAGAAGTCTGTTTTTAACATTTTGAAGACTGGCCATACTATTCCATCATGGAGTTAGATTTTGAAGAAATCCACTGTGGGTGCTTTCAGAGATGTCAAAGTGTCAGTTTCACCTTCTCACTTTGGATTATCAAACAACATTCCTGCTAACAACTAGAGAGATGGCTCTGCACTTAGGAGCACTGCGCTGCTCTTTCACAGGACCTGAGTTCAGTTCCCAGCACCCACACTGGGTAGCTCACAACTGCCTGTAAATCAAGTCCCAGGGGATCTGACACCCTCTCCTGGACTTCACGGGTACTGCACACACATGGTTCATACACAGACAAGCATATGCGTGTGCAACACACACACACACAAATAAGATTAAAACATTCCTGCTAATAAAAATTCCAACAACAAGCCCAGCTGGCACTTACTGAACTCTGAGTTCCATGACAGTCACCTGTAGCTGCATGTTGCCCTGCATATGTTTGACGCTGTGCTGATATACAATGTCTTGTATATGTGTGATATCCTGGGGATGCATGATGTCCTACACATGTGCGATGCCCCGCAGGTGTGTGCTGTTTTGCAGATGGAAAAGGTGATCTGTGGTTAGAAAGACCAAACAACTCACCCAAGGCCAGTGACGGGAAGACCCAAGTGTGACCTATGAGAAAGGACTCCACTACCACCTGACAACCATGCCATCTGTGTCCTTTTATTCTGTCTCTTTCTCCTGAGGAGTTCATGTTATGCCCCATTCATTTTCCCCTTTAAAAATTCATTCCTAGTTGTTGAAAGTCTGATGTGAATGAGAAGCTAAAAGGGAGTGAAATGGGTCTCTAGCAGTCAGTTCCTCTTTGACTGGACCCTGCTGGATACAGGGCATTGGGTAGAGTATTAGCGTCTCCCAGGCATCCAGTCACCCTGACCATCCGTCTCCTGACCTTTCAGCTTCCGACACTACTAAGTAGATCTAAGCAGTTGTTTTTTAAGGGTTGTTGGGGTAGGATAGAAAGATGGAGAAGTCGGGGGTGGGGGAGATGACACACTGACTGCCATACACCTTTTAATCCCAGCCTTTGGGACGCAGAGGCAGGCAGATCTCTTTGAGTAGGAGGTCAGCCTGGTCTACAGAGTCAGTTCCAGGACAGGCTCTAAAGCTATACAGAGAAACCCTGTCTCAAACCCCCACCAAAGGAGAAAATTAAGGGGGTGTGGGAAGGAAAAGGCAACCCTCATTCCAGAGTCTTACAGAGAGAAACTGAGAATGTCTGACAAAGCCCAAATTGCTCACACATGGGGCTGGAGAGTTGGCTCAGTGGTTAGGATCATGTACTGGTCTTGCAGAGGACACATTCAGTTCCCAGCACCCAGATGAAGCAGTTCACAACTACCTGCAACTTCAGATCTGGGGGGATCTGCTGCCCTCTTTTGGGCTCTGTGGGCACTTAACACTCACACATGTACCTTGCACACACACACACACATATATGCAGAAGACATAGATACACACTGATAATAATAAAGTCAGTTTTAATAGTCCAGGGGCCTGCAAGATGGCTCAGGAGGTAAAGGCATTTGCCACCGAGCCGGATGACCTAAGTTTGATCCCTATAACCTACATAGGGGGAGGGAGTTTGTTCCAACCTCCACATCATTTGCTGTGGCATGTGCGTCCATACTTTACCACACACGATGATGATATAATCAATTTTTAAATGGTAAGGAAAAGTTCAAAGTCGTCCTTAGCTGCATAGCAAGTTAGAGGCCAGCCTAGGCTACGTGAGACTTTGCCTCAAGGAATAAAAACAAAACCAAAATAAAAGGCTATGCTTACTCAGGGCCAAGATGTTTGTGAACTGGAGTTTATATTAGTAATCCTCCCCTGCCCCACCAGAACTCCCCAGCTCATCCAAGCAGTAGATCTCATGAAACTGTCTTACAGTTTTAACTTACCAAAGAAATTAAAAAAAAAATAAGTAAACCAACTCACATTATTTAAACATTGCTTGATCTCTAAGCCTCCTTGTTGTAAATTATACTCTTTGAGCTCTATAATTTGGCCACAAAATCATATATATCATATATATATTGCCACTAAAAACACTTGAGTATTGTTTTCCTTCTTGAGGGGCCTACATCCATGTCTGGGATGTGTACTGTCCGTGTGTGTGTGTGTGTGTGTGTGTGCGCACGCGTGCAGAAAGACTAAGTGCTCCTCCCTAAATCTGAAGTGTGTACCATCTCCTATCCCTGAGTAGACTTGCTAACTTGGCTTCACTCTGACTTGTTCTGAAATCCTTTGGGATGTAGTCAGTGTAGTGAGGGGCAGCTTAGGACTTCAGGCAGCAGTGCTGGGCTGTATCTCCCCACCCCAGCAATGTGGTGAGCTAGTTCCCTGTGACAGCCCCCATACAAAGTAGGCCTCAGTTGACTCATAGGACTAAACGAGTCAAATTAAGAAACCAAGGGTTGTTCCCACAGGCACACAGGTTAGAGTCAGCGAAGCTGCCGCTTTCCACATGAACACTTACCACCATTGCTTCCGGACAGATTTGACCATCTGGTGGCCATAGAGCGTGCAGGAAGGGCTGCCGATGGCAATTACTACAACGCGCGGAAGATGAACATCAAGCACTTAGTTGATCCCATTGATGACATTTTCCTTGCCGCACAAAAGATTCCTGGAATCTCATCAACTGGTAAGTGGGGGCGCTAAGAATTCAGTGTGAGCACGTTGATGCTAAGCGTCTTTTCTTCTCCATTGAGCACAGGCCGGGAAAGGGTTGTGTGCTCACTATTGCTCTCCACCCCCTCTCCCAAAATCGGGCTTTGTTTATTTCAGCCAGTCTAGACGCTAATGACAACATTATTGAGAAATGCAACATTCCCTTGGGAGAAAGAGAAGTGACACAATATAGAACATACTCGATGTGCCCAATTCAGAAGTAATTTAACTCGTCATGAAATATTAACAATAATGAAATAGAAGCAAGGTGCATCATTTTGACCATACAGGCTGGACTTTGTCATGTGTCATCTGAAGAAACACTTAACTTTTTAAGTGCATTAAATGTAAGACGAGTGAATGATTATTGTTAGTACTATACTGCAATAATTGTCTTGGTACTGAACTGTATACTTTTCCAAGAACTTTTGCACAACTGTTAAGCTTTTTTTTCCCTTGAGACAGGGTTTCTCTGTGACTTTGGAGGCTGTCCTGGAACTAGCTCTTGTAGACCAGGCTGGTCTCGAACTCACAGAGATCCACCTGCCTCTGTCTCCCAAGTGCTGGGATTAAAGGCGTGTACCACAAACACCCGGCCTGTTATGCTTTCTATCCTGTTCAAAACCCCTACATGGTAGGAAGTAAATGAGAAAATGAGGCCACACGAGGTTGAAATTGCCTAGCTAATTAGCATTGCCAGCAGGATTTTGAGCAAAGCGCAGACCCTACCCCCCAGTCCCTACAGTTAAAGAATCACCTTGCTGTTATGACTGAGCCAGTCCCCCTACCAAGCCGGCTCTCCTTTCCTCCCTCGGGAGATGAGGGTGGGCCCCGGGTAATTAAAGCCAGTCTGTCCTTCTGTGTCTGTTACTCTCCAAGCCTCTTGAGTGTTTCCCAGACCCATTAGTTCCTCTGACTTTTGAGGTTTTGAGAAGTGAATTAAAACCTTCTGGCTTGTCTAGAAAGTTTCTGCAAATCCCCAGATTTTCCCAGAAAATTACGTGGGTGGGGCACACGTAATGTGGTCGGCTTGGTTGGTTTTTTACTTCCTGTCACTTTGGGCTGGGCAGGTAAAGGACCCAATGCCTGCAGGGAGGCATCGTTGTCAGCACAAGAGTCCAAAGGAGCAATTAGCAGGCAGAGCCTGGGAAGCTGCCAGAGCATCCCCTCCCCACCCACGTGTCCTGGCCCTCCCTAGCATCTAACTGCCCCTTACTCTTCCATGGTTGTATTGTTTTTGTCATCCAATCAGGCTGTCACTAATGTATTAGTGTTCTGAGAAAAATAGTCAGGGTGGAAACAGAAGCAAAAGTCCTCTGGGTGTGTTAGTAGAAGCTATTCAGTCACACACAGAGGTCTTTTGGCTCAGTCCAGTCTCCAATGCTTGGGGTGGTCTAGTTCCCTCTCTCCAACAACTCAGAATGAATGCTAGCCTCTAGCACAATAATTCTCAACCTTCCTAATGCTGTAACACTTTCATACAGTTCCTCACGTTGTGGTGACCCCCCAACCATAAAGTCATTTTGTTGCTACTTCATAACGGCAAATTGCTACCTTTGTGACTCATAATGCAAATATCTGATATGCAGGACATCCAATATGTGAACCCTGTGAAAGGGTTGTATGATCCCAAAGGGGTCGATATCCACAGGTTGAGAACCACTGCTCTAGTAGAATTCTTCTGTGTATTTATTTATAAACCCTTGTGGAAGAAACTCTAATACAGTAATACCCAGTCCTGTATGATAGGATTCAGGCATTATGCTGGCCTGCCCCTGTCACCTGGCAGAATGCACTCAGGCAGTACCCTGGTCAGCCCAGGGTTCCATGACTACTAGTCTGCACGCATGCGCAAAGGACCCCTTTAAAAGATACCCCACACACTTCTGCTCTCTTTCTTCTCTCTTTCCCACTGTTCCCCTGGGCAGACAGGACTTTCCCTGTCTCTCTTCTGTCCTCTGTGTCTCTTTACCTCTTTTCTTACCTCCCATCAACACTACTTTCAGTATGAGTTAGTCTGCAGGTCTCTGTTTCCCCATCTGCTGCTGTCCATCACCTACCCTGGATCCTCCTGGTCTCAGTGTGGGACTGGAGACTGCCACCTGGGGTCCCAACCCATTATTCATTACTCCTAACACTTTAGCCCAAGGAGGTTCAGTTTTCTGTCCTTGAGGTCCTAGGATACACCCCTGCTTAAAAAGTCATGAAGACCATCCTCACTATGTTGTACAGGATGGTCCCCAGCTCCTGAGCTAGAGCAGTCCTCACGCCTAGCTCTCCAGAACAGCTGTAACTGGATCTCTTGGCAGGTAAAACCATTCCCAGCTCGCCTGACCGGCTCGTCTGCAGCAGTGTACGTTGCTGTGAGGATATTTCAGATATCAGCCAGCTACCCCTTCCGTTTAGATGAAAACGAAGCACACACATGCTTTTCACATTCCTTAAGCAGAAGCCTGTGGATTGCAACCCCTTGGGGGCTTGAAGGACTCTTTCACAAGGGTAGCCCAAGACCACTGGAAAACACAGATATTTACAACTCACGACAGTAGCAAAATCACAGTTATGAAGTAGCAACAAAAGTCATTTGTGATTGGGGTCACCACGATATGAGGGACTTCATTAAAGGGTCACAGCAAGAGCCACTGGGCTAGAGTAAAACAGTTTACCTCTGCCGGTGGGATGTTGGCCAGTCACTGTGTGGGAGCTACTGAGTGTCACTGTACCCTTGCTTTCAGTATGCCTGGTGGCATGTCAGAACACAAGGCACCCCACCTGTGGCTGGATGTGGGGACCTAATAGACAGGATCCCACTCCAGTGAGCTCCAAAGTCAGATCTATTCCCAACTATAGAGGTTTCTAGAGGACCTGAAGAAGAATCAACGTCTGGTGGTCAGAAATATCTTCAGAGCCAACCACTGACATGTGGGAAGGGCTGTCTTGTCCCCCCCCACTTTACCCCCATTCCGTATACTGACTGTTTCTCTTCCCTTCAGGAGTGGGTGATGGAGGCAATGAGCTTGGGATGGGCAAAGTGAAGGAGGCCGTGAAGGAGTACATAAGAAATGGAGACGTCATTGCCTGTGACGTGGAAGCTGACTTTGCTGTCATTGCTGGTGAGTACCTGGGTGCCTGCTAAGAGGAACCTGGCTGTCCCGGATAAGTGACCCGGATTGAAGCCTGACCAGTTGTGTTAGACAGTTTCTAATCGCCGTGACAAAGACCTAAAAGCAGTAACTTCAAAGGAGGAAGGGTTGTTTGGGTCCATGGTCTCAAAGGGCTCAGAATGCAGCTGCTGGTTTTATTGTTCCCGTAGCCAGGCAGTCTGACATGGTAGAAAGGCTGCCTGCTCCACAGTGACCAGGAAACAGAGCGAGGGACCTTGTGTTCGCCTGGCAGGCTACGCATGCTTTCGTCCCACCTAGGTTTGCATCCCGTTGGACCGTTCTGCTCACACTCGGGTAGGGTCTTCCTCACTCAGGTGCCGTCCGACGTGTCAGTCTTTTCTGGAAACGCCCTTGCAGACATCCGTATGCTTTACTACTCTCCCAGACACCTCAGTCCACTCAAATCGACAATCAAGATGACCATCACACCAGGGCAGAAGCCTTTCTCTTCTCTCCAAGGGGCACCAGTGTAGAGCAGGACCCTGAGTGGGAATTCGGCCAATCCAGTTAACATTTACAATGTGCCAGGCATTGTTCTGGGTTCCAGGCAACAGCAGAGGTGATAGGTGCTCAAGAACTTCCTTTCCAGAGCTGAGAGACAGCGACTCAGAGGAATACATATACCAGGTGGTACAGTGATAGAGGTGTGGGATAGGGCAGGTGACAGACAAGAGAGAGAGACAGGAGGGCCAACTTTGATCAGTGGCCGGTGAGCGCCTATGATGCAGCTGACAGGGGAAGGGTTTCCCACAGCTCCTCTTACCATCTTCTGCCTCAGGCTCCCTGTCCTTCCTCTTGCTGCCCTTCCTCAGGGGACCTCAGAACCCATGTTTCTTATGTGTCCAGGTGTTTCAAAGCCTGACTTTCCCTTAGCCTCACCAGAAGATTCTGGAAATATTAACACTTTGAAAGGGGCTCTCTCCCCTTTATGGTCAGAATCCGATTAGAAAGGAGCGAACACTCTCCAGGATGGAAAACCTACTGGCGAGTTGCTGGAGGCTTACCACACAAACCTGGAGTTCAACCCCAGGGAGCCAGGTGCCCATCTTTAATCCCAGCACTTGGAGGGTGGGGGGGCAGAGGTAGTCAGGTCTCTTTGTTTTTGAAGCCAGTCTATAAGTGAGTTCCAGGGTTCCAAGCTGGCCAACGCTACATAGCAAGACCTTGCCCAGAAAAACCAAACCACAAGACCAACAAATGGAAACAATACCAGGGCATCATGGAGGACTTACTTCTGGGCACCCCTGAGTGAATCACCTGGATTTGGGGGGATTTCTGGGCACACAATTACATTCTCCATAGGGACTATCAGGGGGAAATCTCTTCTGCTCGTGGTGGACCCAGGAAAAAGGAACTCTCCAGAAATATGCCAGATCTTGCTCTGTTCTAAATAAGACCTGGCCTTAAAAGAAACCGCAGCCTGATGTGGTATGAGCAAACCCATACTTGCCTTGGTGAAGGGAAGTACCCAGTCCAGTCCACTGCCACCTTCCACCTCTAGTTCTATGGAGTAAAAGGAAGGAGATAAAGAAACTAAATGTAACCCTAACCAACAGAGAGCAGACTTCAGAACAAAGGAAGCTAGGAATAAAAAATTCACATTCATAATACACAAGGAAGATAAAACAATCCTTTGTGTATATGTATCTAACACCAGAGAGGTTATATATACACACATGGGGAGGGGGGGAGAAGATCTTCAGAGAAAAAAAATAGATGATTCAACTATTATAGTTGGATATTTTACCATCCCTGAATCAAAAGTGGACAGATACAGCTGGCATAAACCTGCAAGGACACAGCTGAACCCAACAATGCCGCCAATCAGCCAGATTTCATTGACACCTGTAGTAGTTATTTCGCTATTGCTGTGATAAGACACCATGACCAAAGCAATGTAGAGAAGAAACTGTTTATTTTGGCTTGCAGCACCAAGGGTCAGAGTTCATGTGACAGGGAGGATGACAGCAAGCAGCATGGCAGGAACAGAAAACCGAGAGCGCTCACATCTTGAACCACAAGCACAAAGCAGAGAGAGCAAAGTAGGCAGGCTCTTTGCTCTCGAAGCCCAGTGATGTACTTCCTCCAACAAGGCCACACCTTCTGCGTTTCCCTCAAGCAGCACCGCCCACTGAGACCAAGCAGTCACATGCTCATGACTATGGCGGACATCTCATTCAAACCACCACAGAATGCATGTATTAGAAAACAAGAAATAATGGACTTCGCTTATCTTAGGCTTCCACCTGAAGGAAAGAATAGTTCAATATTTTTCATGAACATGAATATAAAAACAGGGCTGGTGAGATGACTCAGTGGGTTATAGCATTCGCCACCAAGTCTGATGACCTGAGTTTGATCCTGGATATGTGCACACACACACTAGTAAACAAACATACTTCGTGCATGCACACATACATATATAAATGTAATTTTTTAAAAAGTCAAAAAGCACTCAGCAAAATATTAACAGACCCCAACAACATATAAAAGAAATGTATCACTAACAAACTAGGATTTATGTCAAGAAGATCCAATAATCCAAAATTCATTCATAATCTTAGATATTAACAAGCCAAAGAAGAAAATTACATAATAAGGCAAGAAATACAGAAAAATATTTTTAAGTGTCCAGCTGGGAGTGCTATGGCAAGGCTGTCCTTTGTCACCAGTTTTTCAGCTTCCTACTAGAAATCTTAGTGCAATCAGACAAAGAGAAGAAATAAAAAAGCATGTGGATTGAGAAGAAAGAAAATAATTATCTTTGTAGATGACATGTTCATCCATATGGAAAATCTACAAGGATAAACAAAAACAAACTCCTGGAATGAATAGATTACAGCAGTCTTTCAGGATGCAATGTCATTTTCCACTTTGCAAGAGGAATTTGAAATTAAAAACATGTTGCCATTTATATTAGCACTTCCCAAAATGCACTACATAAATATAAAGCTAGCAACATGTAATTCCTGTTTATGCAAGGAAAAATATAAAACTTCGATGAAGGATGGCATGAAAGAACTAAAAATAATCACAAAGATAATTACATGTTAATGGATTCAAAAACACAACCGTGTTAGGATGTTAGTTCTACCAACTTGATCAAAAATACAACACAAAATAAATGAACATTCCTGGAAGTTATTTCATGGATACCATGTTAGTTGCTTTTTTTTTTCTCACCACTATGACAAAATACCTAACAAAAGGAATTTAAGTAGAGGAGGGTTCGTTTCGGCTCACAGCTTGAGGATTTCTGGCCGCCATGGTTCAGAAGGCATGGCAGCGGGAGTGAGGCCATGGGCCACAGTGTGTCTGCAGTCAGGAGGCAGGAGATGATGCTAATGATCCGCTCACTTTCCCCTTTCTTTCCCTTCATTCATTCATTCATGGGACATCTATCCTCTGGCCTCCACCTGCAAGCCACAGAGGACACAAGGAACTTTAAGGGCAGATTACTAAATGAAAAAGCCAGTTTGAAAGGCTACGTGATCTGAACCCAGCTTTAGGATGTTCAGGAAAATGTAAAATTGTGTATACAGTGAAAGATCAGTGGTTGCTAGGGACTAGGAAATCAAAGTTCACAATATGTTCATCTCACATGAACTTAGCTGCCTTTCACGGGCCCCTCTCAACTCTCCCATACCCTACCATGGATCCCATGATCCAGGTATGATGGCCATGGACACTGCTTAAATATCGCATGGGTTTTACATTTTGTTAATTGAAAATATGACATCATATGACCAAAGGCAGTCTTTAGAAGCAGGTAGTGTAGGGTGATAGACACAGGCAAAAATGTGCTGGGTCATCCCACCGTAGCACAGTCAGCAGTTTTAGCTTGCAGGTCAGCGGCATCCCACGTACATGACCATCTATGCCATTGTAAACCGGTGAACACGGTTTTTCAGTTCTGCCTTTTCCTTCTTACAGCTTCCCAAACATGTTTAATTTTCTACATTTGCACAGAGCCTGAGGATGAGCTCTGGAATTGTACCAGGAAAATATACTTAATGCTGCTCAACTCTCACAGATGATATTTCAAATGAATGGATCAAGAGATACTTAATGCTATATAGTTGTACCTTTAAAGATGGTTGCATAGGTGGACACAATTCTTATATATCTTTTGTCTTTCTTCAGAATGTCTTACTATGTAGCCTTGACTGGTCGGAAACATACTACATAGACCAGGCTGTCCTCAAACTCAGAAATCTGCCTGCCTCCATCTCCTAAGTACTGGGATCAAAGGCATATCCCACCTGGCCTAGCCCAATTCTGATATTTTAAATAGATGGATAGATAACATTACTAAAGTACATACTTAAACATGGTTAAGATGGTAATTTCTGGGGGATGGTGAGATGGCTTAGTGGTTAAGAGCACTTATTGCTCTTCCAGAGGACTCAGATTCAATTCCCAGCATTCACATGGTACCTCACGTCTATCTGTAACTCCAGTTCCAGAAGATCCAACATTCTCACACAGACATACATACACCAATGCACATGAAATAAAATAACAAGTAAAAAAGATGGCAATTTCTGGTGTGATATTTTAGACAGACATAATAGATAGGTAAAAGAGATAGGAATATATTTAACACTACTGACTATAGTCTTAAAGATGGCTAAGGTGGTGAATTCTAGTGTGATACTTTTAGATAGATGGTAGGTAGGTAGGCAGATGAAAGATGGACGGACAGATAGGTAATTTGCTTGTTTTCATCCATGGGTCTAGGTTAATATAACTTCCTCTCCTAGGCAGGAACACCATAGAAACTAGATTTCTCTTCCTTGAAGTGAGAATCTATTCCCACTTCTAGTCAGCCATAAAGAAATTCTCCAATCTGCCCCTGTCTGATATGTCATAAGACCAGTCTCAGTCCAGAGGAATCCTACTCCCTACCCAGAATGAAGGATGTTGCAGAGAGAGGCCAGGAAGAGCCCAAGGAAGCAGGCCTTGCTGTGTCCCCACCCTGTCTGTTGACACAGACATTCACCAAGGCCAAAAAGAGCAGAATTCAGAGCGCTCCCAGGTAGATAGACACCTGCTGTTTCTGGAGGGCAGAGTATCCAGAGTGAGCTCCAAGCCCCTGCCTGCATGACTTGTCCATACGGCTCTCCATCATAACACCCTCTAATAAAACAGTGTGCTCCCCTGTGACTGTTGAAGCAAATTAATTCCATCTAACAGTATATAGTCAGTCAGAGCAAAGATGATGCAGTCTAGGAGATGGAGACCTTAAAACAGTCCATGGGACCTGACACAGTCATGATGGATAGCATCAGAACTGAATTGGATTGGAGCACACTTGGGTTAGGTATCTGCTGCTACAAAACTGTTAGGAGTCCTGGCAGAGAAAGATACTCAGGCCCTTGGTGGTCACAATACCCTCTCTATTGCTGGGTGACAACAGTGAAGGAACCGTTTTTCCCACATTCGTGTCATGTAGATTTTAACACAATTAAAGACTTAAAAATTACTTTCTAAGACAAAAGGAATGTAGGCTCTGGAGGGAATAGCCCGAGTTGTGTCTACTTATTCGCTGTGTGACATTTACTGCTCGCTCTGTGTCTAAGTTGCTCACATGGCAATAATGATACTAAGTCTCAGACTTGTTTTAAGGATTCCAGAAGCCGAGTCACACAAGACATTTACAACAGGACTGTAGACTGAAACATTCAACCCAAGTAAAGCATTCTTTTCCTTGAGTGTACCATTGATGACTCAAGTCACCACTATTTTGTAAAGCACTAATAAACTACCTAGTAACAACTGTCAGCTGTGACCATAGATACTTGCGATTCCAGACATTCAGATGTAACAAAAAGATCTTAGAATCGCTGATAGTGATAAATTTGATAATCATCGTCTAGTCTTCATTGGCCATGTTTGACTGTATCCCTTTGTGCTCCCTGGGGGTTCTGTTTGTATATTTGTTTACCTGGCTTCTCCCACCCCATAACTCCACTTTCTCCAGCTGAATTCTACCCAGAGCATAATCTACTAAATGACTCTTCTGTGCATCTTTCCTGAACCAGTCAGAATGATTGGTTTCTCTTCCGTGCTTCCATAATCCTTTGGGAGCATCTCATTGTCTTCCCCTGAGGCTGGCTATGTACACACCTCTCTTCAATTTGATGATCCTCTTCCTTTAAAAGAAATATTTGTGTTTAAGTCAGAGGAGAACTTGCAGGAGTCAATCCTATTCTTCCACTGTGTAGGGACTGAATTCAGGTCATCAAGCCTGGCAGTTTTCATCCACTGAGCTGTCCTACCACCTTCTCTTCCTCAGAGATGCTGCAGCACCTAGAGACAGACCTCCGTCAGTCTTGACAAGATGGAGAACACACGCAGACACCATCAGAGAGGAGTAGATGAAACCATCTCTAGCCCAGGGAATGAGCCCTGGGGCCTGGCTGACAGAATAGAAAAGGAGGTCTGAGGATGACTTAGGAATGGTTGTCAACACATAAAGGAGTGATAGACCTCACATACCCGGCTGTCCGCTATTATGCCCCAGGGGATAGGCTTCTTGTAGCCCAAGGGGTTGCCATCAGCCCTTGGGACAAGTGTGTAATGTGGGGAATTCTGGGATGGCTTTCTCAGTTCAGTGCCTGTCCAGTCGTGTGTAACCCAAATAGCTTCAAGCAATAACCCTCAAACTTCAGCTTTACTCAAAGCTTGTCTATAGGGCTCATTAAACTCACCTGCTCCCCAACAATCTTGCAGCCATTCTGATTTAGGAAGTCTGTTGCTTGGAGGCGGTCGGTGGACCATAGCATCTTTACAGTTCTTTGATGGATTTTTTTCTTCTTTTGCATGCTAGGTGTTTCTAACTGGGGAGGCTATGCCCTGGCCTGCGCACTATACATCCTGAACTCCTGTGACATCCATGAGCGTTACCTCAGGAAGGCAATCGGGCCTTTCAGGGTAGCTGGGGAGCAGAGCTGGACTCAGGCCCTGCCATCTGTCACTAAGGTAACACACTGCAGCAGCCCACTGGCCCAGATGCAACTTTCTTGTTTGATGAGAATTAAGTAGGCCTGAGTGTTCCAAACTGTATGACCACATCAACCACCAAGCTACCCATGAAGTCAAAGGTAGAGCTACTGCTGAGGAATTGTCTCCCTGCTGGGTCAGGCTGGGAGACAAAACCAGATAACCCTTTGATCTACTTCTGATCCTATCCTATGTGAGACGGATTTGGAGAGATCCTGGCCTGTCTGTTTGGCCTTTGGCAAGTTGCTTTCCCCCTCAGAGACGAGACTCTGGGTAGTCAGCGCTGCTGGATGAGAGAATACCTGACCCATGGAAGCCGTGACCTGGGTTGTGGTCAGGAGTGGGCGATGGGAGTCCTTACTGTTCTCTTCACAGAACTGACAACTCAGTGAGGATGCTAAAGCATCTTGGGTAGCACACATGCTAAGCTGTGGGAGCAGATCCGGTAGGAAGAGAGACCTGTGGGTGTAGACCGGAAGGACTCCACCAGATTGGGAGGGGGGCACACCCTAGGTGGGAAGGGCATGAACAAAGGCTCAGTTTGGTCCTGGCTGTGTAAGATTGTTCCTTGATGGAGGATTGTAGGCTCAGGTGTGATGGGAGAGACCCCAGAACAGCTTTCAAAACTGTCCCTGTATGAGTGTTTTCTGAGTGAGGCTTGCCTAAGCACCTCAGGGTCGGCAAACAAAACCCCACATGCAGTTCACCAAACCCCGAGTGCCGTTCTAGACACATCTTGTAAGCCAGAACAGAGGAAGAGCAGCAACCCTTAATGTCTAACTTAAGTGAACTTGGGTATGTGTGGGAGCAGCATGGGAAGCAGCCAGTCTTGACTCAGGGCTGGATGGGCTCCCTTGGTCCTCAGTCCATATAACTATCCTGGAGCCATCCTGCTCACCAACACTGATTCTAAACCCAAACCTCTCCACTGTGGGTGCTTCTAGAAGGGGTGGACCTGACCTACTCTACCCTGAGGAACAGCTGGTGGACCAGACCTACAGGACACAGATGAAGTATCGGTTTCTTGCTGGGTAGCTCCAGGGGGAATCTGGAACCTAGTCAGCCAGCCCAGAACACTGGCTACTGTGTTAGTTAAACACCACGACCTGGGCAACTTAGAGAGGAAAGCATTTGCTTGGCTTTACAGTTCCAGAGGGACAAGAGGCCATCATGGTGGGGGAGCATGGCAGCCAGCTGCAGGCATGGTGGCCGGAACAGGGCGCGGAGCGCAAACCCGAGGCTGCTTGCTACACTCAGTGCTAAGCCGGTCTCCCTGGATAGGGAAGTTCTGAGGCAGGCCAGATGAATACAATTCCAGGTGAATCCCTGAGGTGTCCAGACCTGGGGACCTGCTGGTCACTGGCTCGGTTTCTAGGGATGCGTGTCCATTTAAGAAAGGACAGACAATTGTATCTCCCAGCCAGCCAACTGGTGCCCCTGAACCCCAGTTCTTAACAAACCTCCATATTTAGAGGCCCTTTTTTTGGAAGCCTCTTTTTTGATGCTGTCTTGTGCTTTTCTATGCCCTGGTTTCTCTGTCTCTCTCTCCCTCCAACCTCCCTGCTGTTGAATTCAGTATTTCTCTGGGTTATTATTACCTCCACAGAGGAGGGAGTCGATGGGCTCTGTGTGGTGGGTAGTACCAAGTCCACCCATTAAGAGGCAGAACTGGGGGCTGGAGATGACTCAGCAGTTAAGAGCACTGTCTGCTCTTCCAGAGGTCCTGAGTTCAATTCCCAGCACCCACATGATGGTTCATAACCATCTGTAATGAGATCTGTTGGCCTCTTCTGGAGTGCAGGCATCTTACATGCAGATACAACACTGTACACATAGTAAATCTTTAAAAAAAAAAAAAAAGAGGCAGAGCTGAAGTGGTAATTGGGGTCTCTCTGACCCTGACTCTGGGCTTTCCTCTGGCCCAGAAGTTTCTCAGCCCCTGACAATGCGGGGGCATGGGAGAGAGGTGGGTGTGAGACTCAAGAGACATTTTCATGGGGGAAATGGACTTGTCTTCCCTGGGGGACCCAAAGGCCCTCTGTTCTTTATGCTTCCTGCATCTGAACTGGAAAAAAGGGGGTCTGCCTCCCACATGACTGCTGATTCACACGAACACAAAGTGTGAACCCCACCCACCCAACCCCTACAGGCTCACACTCATCCTCCAGGGATGGAAAATTCTCCACTTGGCATGGATGCCCAGTCTTTCAGAAGTGTATTAACAATACCTCGTTCTCAAGGAGGAAATGGAAAGGCGCCCGCCTGTTTGTAAAGCAAAAGCAGAAGGGCATTTGCTGAGCCCCTTCTGGGGGCCAGGCCCAGGCTTGTTCTGGGAAACAATGAGGAGTCAGACATGGCCCCTGGGGAAGAAGCTTGAGGAACAAGGAGAGTAACAGGGGGGCCCAGATGTCTCCCTCTGCCCCCCCTCTACCTCTCCCCTCCTCTGCCCTTCTCTGGTCTGAAACCCTGGCTCAAGCAATCCTTTCCTCAGCCTCCTGAGCACTTAGAACTATAAGTATGCCCAACTTCCCAACTCATTCGTATTCAAAATGGTTTTTCCAACATGCTTAAAAATAACATCTTTCCTGCCTGTAAGCCCAGAAATTACCCTTGACTCCATCCGTGAGGCCTGCCCCCTTTTGGTCCTCCTTCCTGTTTCTTGCTTCACTGTCTGCCTTGGCCTGGGCACCACAGCTTCCAGCTCTGCTCCATCAGGGAGGAGCTGCCCCCTCCACTCCGTCTCTTAGCAGATGCTGTGGTCCTTCCTGGAAATCTGCTGGGAGGGGCAATCGGCCCAGCTTAGAGACCAGGCAATTGGTCCCTGTGGCTCTTAAGAGTCTGAGTGCCAGCCAATTCCTAACCTGTTGGCTCTTCACACTCACCCTGAGGACTCCACAGCCTTCTCCATGTCCCGAGGATGAGAACAGAGAGGGCAGGCAGTGTGCTGGGAGGAAGTGTCCCCATGCTGCTGCGTGCATTGCAGAAAGAGAGGATATGAGTAATGGGGAAGAAAAGTGGGAGAATGGAGCCCAGACAAAGGGTGGGAAGTGCCTGTCTGGACTGGGTAGGCCCTGGCCAGGGGCTCTTGACAAATACTTGTGTGGAAACGTACTTGGACCTCCCTTTCACAGGGCATCATCTGCAGAACAGAAAGGCCACTGCAGGGACTTCCGTGTGTGTGTGTGTGTGTGTGTGTGTGTGTGTGTGTGTGTGTGGTTTGTACATGTCTGTGGTACACTTTCATGTGTTCTCATATATATGCAGAGGCAAGAGGCTAACCAAATACCATGGTCTTGAGAGCCATGAGTTCGAAGAGTTACAAAGCTTCAGTCTATAATAATAATCCCAGAAAGCATTCCCAGGGGCACCCTAGGGAACTGAGTTTGGTGTTGTGCTCTGTGCTATGACTATATAGTTTCTGGGGTTTTTTTTTACTCTCTGACTCTTTTGGGGAGCCCCCATCCAACTCCCAAAACTACACATAAAGACTTATTCTTTATTATGAATGCCCAACTTTAGCTTGGCTTGTTTCTAGCCAACTTTTCTTAAATTATTCCATCTACCTTTTGCCTCCTGGCTTTTACCTTTCTCTCTTTCTGTATATCTTGCTTTCCTTCTTATTCCATGTCTGTCTGGGTGGCAGGCCCCTACTTCTCTCACTCCTCGGTCTTTTCCTCCCAGATTTCTCCTATTTATTCTCTCTGCCTGCCAGCCCTGCCTATCCTTTCTTCTGCCTTGCTATTGACCATTCAGCTCTTTATTAGACCCATCAGGTGTTTGAGGCAGGCAAAGTAGCACAGCTTCACAGAGTTAAACAAATGCAACGAAAGAATGCAACACATCTTTGCATCATTAAACAATGTTCCACAGCATAAACAAATGTAACACATCCTAAATAATCTACAACAGTACATACTGTGAGTCTCTGGTCAGTCATCTTGCTTGGGACCACCTTGGGGCCTTGAACCTGTCAACTCATCCTTGAATCCCTGTCACAGCAGGCGCTCAAGAGAACTTATGGGGAGAAAGCAAATGCCTCATCAGGAAGGTGGCAGCCCTTTGGTGTCTGGGTTTCCTGCTTGAGATTTCTTTGGTTCCTTCTCTGTGGAGGAAGGAGAGAGAGGGTGCTTGATTTGGCTCCTCCTTCCTGTTGCCTTCCCCTAACTGTTCAACAGGACAGTCATGTTAGTGACTCTGACAGGAGGTTCTTTGGGACCTTACTTTTGGAGGGAAAGGAACGGAGGTGAGCCAGTCCCTATCCTTTAACCAGCAAATGAGTTAAGGAAAACAAGCTCTTCGTTTTCCCCGCTGCAATCAACAACCGACCTCGTTCCTACTGTGTGCCAAGGGTCACAGTGGGTACTTGACTTCCAGTATCTCCTGAGGGCCACGATGCCACCAGTATCAACAACTCCCCCATCTGGCAGATGAGATTTCCAAGACAGAGAGGTTACGACACTGCCAAGGAAGCCCCACCCCTGATGCGTCTATTCCCAAAGCCCTTCTGGGGTCCAGCTGCGCTTTCTCCGTGGCTCTGCTCCCTCCAAATGTTCCATGTCCATGTTGGAAAATGGAAGTAGCAGCAGCACAACTTAGTGTTGTGCTTGTTAGATTCCCTCCCCCGCCCCGCCCCCAGGGGTGTGGTCAATGTGACACAAGCTATGGTCATCTGGGAAGAGGAAAATTCAATTGAGAAAATACCTCTGTAAGACTGGCTTGTAGGAAAAGCTGTGGGGCATTTTATTAATGATTGATGTAGGAGGTCCAGGCCAATGTGATTCCATCCCTGGGCAGGTAGTCCTGAGTCGTATAAGAGAGCAGGCTGAGCAAGCCGTAGAGAGCAAGCCAGTAAGCAGCATTCTTCCAAGGCCCCTGACTAAGTTCCTGCCTCCAGGTTCCTGTCTCGAGTTCCTATCCTGAGACTTCCCTCAGTGACGGAGTGTGGCCTGAGAGCTATAAGCTGAAATAATCATTTTCCTCAAACTTTTAGTCCTGGTGTTTATCACAGCAATAGAAAGCGGACTAGGACACACACCCACCCCACAGGAGGCTAACAGTGGGATCTCGGAAGCGGCTTCTGCCTCAATCAAACCCATGGGAGCTCATTCATGGCATATCTAGGGACTGGGTTGGAGGGAGGATTGCGTTTCTCTAAGTGTTAGGATCATGTAGGCTTCCACCAGGGCATGAAATGTGGTCATATAATGCTAAGTGACTCCCCCGCAAAACAGCTGATCTGTTTAAATCCTTTGCTTTTGTTTGAGACAGGATCTCATACTCTGTAGACCAGGCTGTCCTGGAGCTCAGTATTTAATCCAGGCTGGCCTCAAACTCACTGTAATCCTCCTGTCTCAGCACCACACGTATTAGGATGACAGCTATGAGCCATCATATCAAGCTCTCGGTTTGGGTTTCATAAGGAGCTTTCCAGTGAGTTAATATTTTTACCCCCCAAATTTTACTTTTAAAAAAGAGGCACATTCCTGGGTGTGGTGCCACGTGCCTTTAAACCCAGCACTCGGGAAGGCAGAGGCAGGTGGATCTCTGAGTTCGAGGCCAGCCTGGTCTACAAAGTGAGTTCCAGGACAGCCAGGGCTACAGACACCTTGCTTTAAAGAGGAATTTAAAAAAAGAAAAGAAAAAGAGACAGAAAGAGAAATACAGAGAAACAGAAGGGAACACAGAGCGGGACACACCATACACACACACACACACACACAGAGAGAGAGAGAGAGAGAGAGAGAGAGAGAGAGAGAGAGAGAGAGAGAGAGAGAGAGAGAGAGAGAGAGAGAGAGAAAGGAACAGAGAACACAGATAGTAGTATATCAAGCCCAACGCTTTCTCTACGTAGAGATTTTTGCATTCCTTTCCCCCTCCCCCTACATGACTTTTACCTCTTCCTCATCTCCCTTTTTTCTTCCCAGGAAGAAAAAATGTTGGGCATCCTGGTGCAGAACCAAGTCCGGAGTGGAGTGTCAGGCGTCGTGGGCATGGAAGTAGATGGGCTGCCTTTCTATGGTGTTCACGATGAGATGGTCCAGAAGCTGGTGGATGTCACCACAGGGCACATGTGACCAGTGTGTTCTGTGCAAAGTCCCTTCCCAATGACCAGCCTGTGTCTAGGCAGGAGGTCCAGAGGCATTGATAGCTCTAACCGCCCCTCATCCTGGCTTCTTCAGGCCACCCCAGCGGTCTGCTGTGTTGTTTTTCTTTTGTAGCTGTTGCTGTCTTTTAAGCTACAGCTATCTATTCAGCAACTGCAGCTCTGCCGCTCCCAGCAATGGCTAGGTGGTAAGGATACAAGAGCAGAAGCCTGAGGGAATTCTGTTCCTTCAGGCATGACTCTTCCAAAAATACTAAGGAAACGTATTTAAATCTGTCCCACTACCTCAAAGGTTGAGGTAGAACCCTGCTTCCCAGAGAGGCTGCATAGCAAGCAGTTCACCTCTTCATCTCCCAAGAAGTCCTCGTGCTTTTTCTCGCCGCCCCCCTCCTCCCTACAACTTCCTGTCAGCTAGTTGCTGATCCAGCCTCCTGACAGCAGGTGAATTTTATTTAATCAAACACACCTTTGCATCATTAAATAAATGCTCCAGAGCATAAGCAAAAATAACACACCTTAAAATCATATTCTCCAACACTGCTCTGAGAATCTTTCTGCCTGCTACTTAAGAAATAATGTGTGAACAGTTAACTGTAGAGCAGAGCATAAGAATAGGCTTTGCCACGACCTAGGCTAATTAAGAAAGGCTAAATTGCCCACACATGGAGTGTTGGGTTAAAACCCTGAGGCTTTGCACTCACCATAACCAGCAAAACACTTATGCCTTTGAAATATGTTCTTTTTCTAATAGTTTTCCATTTACTGTTTGAGGGGATCCACCACAAGTTCCCTTCAGCCATCACACCCAGCGTCCCTCACTTCCATTCACCCCATTTCTTACACATCTGTCCCATCTGCTTACTCCTATCACTAGCCAGATTCTTTGCCCTCTTTGTGTGAGAAGGAAGCCATATTTGCCTGTAGAGCCCAAAGGTGAGCCAGACCTGCCCAGAGCTCAGGCAGATGAGCTCATCCTGATTTTGGACCACCTCCAACCCCCATTCCTCAGCAAAATCAGAAACTGAGCCACTGACCATACCCCTTATACACTTGTGTATCAGGATAGCAATTTGTGTGGGACCTGAACCTACTAAGTGTTGTTTCTTTAAATGTGTCTGGTATGGTTCTTTAAGGGACATTCATTGTGAAGAAGGAAGACATGGTATAGATTTTACACTCCAATAAAACATAAGTGTAAAGAGAAAAGTAGTTTTGGTATGAACTTTGGTGTCTTCTCTCTGTTATTCTGGTCAGGGTTCACGCCTGCAGGGTCCACAATTGTGTTTGTGGGAGACACTCAAGATGAGGGCCAGTCTTCCACCTGAGCCCTCACAGCTCAGGGAACACAACTTGGCTCTGCAGCCTCGCTGCCCAGGTCTCTTCCAGTTATCATTTTTGTTCACTAAAAATTCCACACCATGAGGGACTCTCATCAAGAGGATACCCTGACAATTAAAAACAAAAGTAGATGACTACGGTAATTACAAGAGAGACTGCCATCACTGTCTTATGATTTATGTTGTGGGGGAGATATTCGTGAACTTGGCTTTTGCAACAGCAATAGCAGAATGCTGCTCAGCACCGAGTGTGCTGAAGGGTAAAGTTATGCTTGCTGTGGGAAGAAATGTATGGGGAGGTGATTGAGCTATTTAAGAAAAAGGCTAAGGCCCTATTAAGTTCGGAGAAGGCAGAGAGGGCTTGTGGACTCTGAGCCAAGTGCCATCCTCTACAGGGAGATGTGCTTACAGCGGAGGCCGAGATACAGAGGAGGGCAGGGAAGACACCTTCACAATGTCCAGCTCGGGCTGTCGGTGCTCCACACTCGGGCTGTTGGTGCTCCACTTTCCAGGACCTGACTTTAAAGCTTTTCTGTTCCACACTGCGAGTCCCACTCAGACCTTGTCCTAGCCATGTGTGTTCTTAGGAGAAAGGTCTGTGTTCATGTATGTGATGGCTACAACCTGCAAAAGCTAGTGGCAGTGGAACCAGAGTCGACCTGCAGGGAACTGTGGTGTCACTCAGGGTGAGATATGGGCCTGATTCCAGCCATCGCTAGGCAAACAGAATCTGTGGGCTTTTCTGGATGCTGTGGACAGAGGACACACTCACAAGGTAGCTGGTGAGGCTGACTCACTGAGGTAGCCTATCCAAGTGGGCCAACTAAGGTCCCTGGATGTCCTCTGTACAACTGACATCCTATTGCTTAGCCAGGAAAGGCATTCCTTTGAGACTATTTATTACCTCCCATTGCATACCAGCCCCAAGCTGGCCCAGTCTGTTGCATCTACTCATCTACCACTTCCTGCCTGTTACACACAGGCTCCACTGACCTCTCCGTGCAGTTCATTGCTCTCTAGACAGGATGGAGAGTATGTGGCTTATTACCAAATTGTGCATCCTCTATATTAGTGATGGGATGTGCTTGCCAGAAGTATAAAAGCAGAGGAATGTGGTCCTTGTGGCTAGGTAGATGATGTCATGTAGGTTCTGATCCAGATAGCACATTTGAAGAAGTGGATATTGTTCAAATGTGAGATTAACACCTAAGCAGAGGTGACATGAACTGTCTGTCAGATTGGCCAGATACTCACCAATTTCACCTTTCCCCTTCTTGTCACTTAGAAAAACTACATTTTCCAGCCTCCCATGCAGCTGGAGTTCATGTGACCAGGATCAGGCTAATGGAATATGAGTAACAGACTCTCAAACATGTCTGTATTTGGCCATAACTGCATGTGGGGTTCTCTTTATATTTCTTCTCTTATCTGTATAGATGGGCATGGGAAATCCCACAATTATGGAACTGCTACTGGAAAATTCTGGTGTGCCCCTTCATGGTTGTCGGTCGGATGATGTCAGGGAAATTGGAGTCCCTTCTTGGGGTTCTTAGTCTTGTTGATAAAAGAATTTAAGCACAGACTCAAATGGAAGATTGAGGATGATGATTTTATTGGAGCTTAAGAAAGGAAAACTCCATGGCGGGGAAGGTGTAAATCTCAGCAGATGCCCAGAGTGGGGAAATGGAAAAGATGAGGAGGGAAAGAAGCCATTGACATTTGAGTAAAGCTGGCATGGAGGTCATCCGCACGGTGGCAGGTAGACACTAGGAGAAGGCAGGGAAATTGTTAGAGATAGAGTAAGGAAGTCCAAAGTAACAGAAAAAGAATGTGTAGGTTCTAGTCATCATCTGAAACAGAGACAGGAAAGGGAAAAGGGAGAGTTGTGTCTCTGACTTAGGACTCAGAGGGTGGGCAGTGCCAGCTGGACCTCAGAGCTGCTCTTAGGAGACAGGAATTCTAGGAAGGAAAAAAAGTGGTATCTCACTAAAGGGTAGTTATTCCTCTTATCCCTTTAGCATAGGTTGAGACAGGCACATCTTCCTAGAGTGGTCCCTGCTTCATGAGTTGCCCAGCTGTGTTAGCTCTTCAGGGACAAGACATGGCATGCCTCTCCTGACCTTTATGGTAACAGAATCAGTTCGTGGAAGGGTTTGAATCTGTCATCACTTGAGAAAAGACTTGCCAGAAAGCAACCTTCTACTGAACTTTAAGAAAACTGTGTATGTGTGTGTGTATGTGTGTGTGTGTGTGTGTATGTGTGTGTGTGTGTAGACATGTGTACATGCTCATGTGTGTGAAGACCAGGTTGGAATTGGATGCTTTCCCCAATAGTTCCCCACTTCCTTTTTTGAGCTGGGGTTTTTTCCTGAGCCTGGAGTTCACTGATTCAGCTAGACTGGAGCTCATTGATCACCTTAGTTAGGGTTTCTGTTGCTGTGAAGAGACACCATGACCACAGCAACTTAGAAAGGAAAACATTTAATTGGGGAGGCCTACAGTTCTGAGGTTCAATCCATTATAATCATGGTGGAACATGGTGGTGTACAGGCAGACATGGTGCTGGAGAGGTAGCTGAGAGTTCCACATTTTGTTTAGGCAACAGGAAGTGGTCTGTGACACTGGGTGTGGCGTGAGCATATATGAAACCTCAAAGCCCACTTCCACAATGACACACTTCTTCCAACAAGGTCACACCTACTCCAACAAGGCCATCCCTCCTAATAATGTCACTCCCTTTGGGAACCATTTTCTTCAGAACCACCACACTGATCCAGCTAGACTGTCTGACTAGGACACCCCCGGGACCTGTCTCTGTCTCTCCAGACCTGGAATCAGAGCCTGGCTGGGTTTTGTTGTTGTTTGTTTTTGTTTTTTGAGGGGTTTTTGTTTTGTTTTGTCTAGACAGGATCTCAATATGTAGCCCTGGCTATCCTGGAATTCACTATGTAGACCAGGCCAGCCTTGAACTCACATAGATCTACCTGCCTCTGCCTCCCAAGTGCTGGGATAAAAGGCATGTGCCACAATGCCTGGCTTTTTTTTTTTTTGTAACATGGGTTCTAGGGACTGAATTCAATTCCCATGTTTGCACAGCAGGCACTCTCCCGATGAAGCCATCTCTTCAGGCCCTTTTCATTGGACGTTTTATGGACATAAAATAAAACTTTATCGGTCATTTATGCTTATTATTTTTATTATTTGGGGTCAGAGATTGAACCCGGGCCTAACCATGAGATACACTCTTGCCCTTGTTTTATGGCACTGCGACTTGGATTGGGGTTACTTATTGCTCCAGCTCAGTCTAGCTTTGACTAAAACCTTTATCACCAAGAAGTGTCTTCAAACAACTGCACCCTAAGAGTATCAGCTACAGTCAGAGTCAGTAGATAAAGTGATTCTGTGCTGGGGTCCTTAGCAGCTAAGATGCTCCTGGAATGGCTTTTCTGCAGTTAGCTATCACTGCTGGTATCTGTGGAGAGTGGACAGAGGGACCCAGAAGGGGTACTTGGCAGTGAGGACATTGGGTATTGTGACTTGTCTGCTATGCTCCAGCTCGGATAATGTCTCATATAGCAGTATCTGTCTGGGTGTTGCTAAGTGAAAGCCAATGGAACTGAAATCCCACCATTTCTCCCAAGAGTGCTGGACACAGAGACCAGATGAATTCCAGTTTCCAGCCTCAGATGCATAAAGCAGATGGGTCAGATTCCAGCTTTCTCAAGAATGCATGAGCCAATGGCAAGCAGCAGATGGGGTTGTGTTCTGTAGTGAAGCTTTCTCCCACTCTTCTGGGGCCAACCCACAGGCCAGTGCGTGTAAACAGGAAGATGAGCCCTTGTCTTACTAAGCCACAGTGGTGAGTAGAAAAGGAATTTTAATGGCTTCTGTCACCTTTGGTCCAAACCAGATGGCCTTTTCCTCCCAGCCCTTCTCTTAGGAGAGAAAGCAGTATTAATCCTTAATAGTGTTCTTGCTTAGTCTGTTTGGAAGAAAGATCTATTCTTCCACAACACTCCAGAACTCCAGGAGTCTGACCCACGCAAGGATTAAGTGGTCATATTCAAATGTATGTTTCAATAGGATGTGGGCAGTCATAGTGATAAACATTGAGTCTGTCACTGTCGGGAGGGTGCCCCAGCAGACAGAGGTTGTCAACAAACAAGGTGGGCGGCTCCAAACAGAACCAGACGATTCTGGGGGAATGTCAGAGAGATGAATTCAACAAGCCCTTCTTCTGGTCTAATGGGGGCTCACCCTCGCTGTGGGGGGGCAACTACGAAACATACAGAGTCCCAAGAGGTCAAAGACAGAGGGAGTGGCATTCCTCAAACCTCAGGGCTGGGCTTTTACCTCAAAAGTCCCAGGGTGGATTTGCAACAACACCCAGCACAGATGCATTCAGGGTGGGTTTGCAACAACACTCTGCACAGATGCATCTGGGTAGGTTTGTAACAACACTCTTGCACAAATGCATCTGAGTGGGTTTGCAACAACACTGCACAGATGCATCCAGGGTGGGTTTGCAACAACACCCTGCACAGACTCATCTGGATTTTTGACAGTGTGCTGCACTGGTACATAACTCTTGCCACAGGCAGAAGAGAAAACCCTACTGCACTTGATGGCTTGGACTTGACCACTTGATGGGTACTCAAGGGCAGTCCCCAACTTGTCCTGAGTTTTCCAGGTCAAGCCCTGGATCTTCCTGACTGTTTGGGGTCTTTCAAGGACACTTAGGATCTCCTTGGTGCATGTGGAGTCACTGCACATAAAGACTGCACAAACTCTGCTGTGATTGGTTATTTTGTTTTATTTGCAGACTGAAGTCACTACATAAATCCACCTCACAGTCCAGCACAGGGATACTTGGCATAAGAGAGACAACAATAAAAAAAAAAAAAAATACAGCTCTCCATTGTAAGAGGAGCCAAGCTCATCTTGTTCCAGTCCAAGCCAGTGAGAATCCAGAATTTCAGGTCAAAATGGAGGGGGAGGGAGGGGGCGGGATACTGTGGGATGAAGGAATTCAGCTATCACCATTGTCCCACAAGGTCCTAGGCTGGGGTAGGTGTGGGTCTTTCTGGCATGCAGCCATCTTTGGCAAACTCTCCTATAAGAGGCATGATGATGTTAGTTTGGTTGTACCTAGGAACTCCGGGAAGCTGTCATACTCCCCCTCAAAGGCTGCTGAATGGTCTATAGAGTATGGGGTGAAGGATAGGAGTTTCTGACAGTAGTCACATGACTCTGGTATCAGTGTCTTGGCACACAGTTGCCATGGACACCCTGCCATTTTTGTTTGTTTGTTTTAGGAGACAGGGTTTCTCTGTATTGTTTTGGAGGCTGTCAGTCCAGCCCCGCCTCGAACTCACAGCGATCGCTTGCCTCTGCCTCCTGAGTGCTGGGATTAAAGGCGTGCGCCACCACCGCCCGGCCACCCTGCCATTTTTTATATTCTCCCTCTCTCTTCCCTTAGGCTCTCAGGTCTAGCTAGTACTCTGGTCAGATGGAAACAAAAAGCTAATTAAGAAAAGCCCTAGTCAGGAACTTGGTTAGGGACACAGCTTCAGGCCCAAATCCTCTTATTTGAGCTTTAGGTGACATTTGGAGAGCCCCTGGCATCTCCCCATAGAGCCCTGGGGTTTGTTTGCCATCAGCCCTTCCGGCTCGACCAGCCCTGTAAAAGTGAGATGTGTCTGGCCCTGGGGTTTCTCCTAGGACTGTCACTCTGCTGTTGTTCCTGTCCCATCCACACCAGTACCCCCACCCCACCCCATTCCTCACCTTAACCAGCTTCCTGTGTCACACAAGACCACAGCCCGTGTGTGGCGGCAGGTGACACTGGAAGGCTTGGCGGTTGAACACCCAGGGTCCTGCTCTCCTCCTCCATGCCCCAGCCCTGCTGCTCTTTGCAAACGTCCTGAGAGTGACAAGTCTGACTCTCTCCCCCCTGCAGCTCAGGTAGCAGCAGAGAAGAGGAGAGGAGACAGGGCTCATTCATACACTCAGCAGTGCCCAGGTTCAGTACTCAGTGAGGGCTTCCAGGGGCCGGGGGCACCTAGCTGCGGCCCAAGACCACTCGGTTCCTGCCTGAGGAAAGAGGCACCTGTGCATGGCAATGTGGATGGCAGCCACCACACCAGCTCCAGGCCACAAGGCCTGTCGGTGAAAGCTCAGGCCTAACCTAGCCTCACATACAGATGACTCAAGCTAGGCCAGTCCAACCGTGGGCGATCCTCCCACTCCCAGTGAGTTAGGGGTCTGGAAGGCTGAGTGGAGCTTGGTTAACAATTCCGGCTCCTCGCCCTGGGCCCCACTTTTCCCAGAAGCCTCAGGGGCACCCAGAGGGTAGGCCTCCCTGGCCCTGCTTGTCCTGGAGCAGGTAAGGAAGGCTAGGCAGGCTGCTCGGAGTCGGGCTAGGTCCCTGTGAGTGGTCTCGCTGACGAAGCAGTACAGCACCGGGTCAGCTACACAGTTGAAGCTGGTGAGGAGGAGGGAGAAGTGGTAGATGTTGAAGATGCTCTTGGCAAACTCGCAGCTGGCCTCCCAGAGGCTGCGCACCAGCAGCAGCACGTGGTAGGGCAAGAAGCAAGCCAGGAAGATGACCACAGTGCTCAGCACCAGCCGCTGAATCTGGTCCTTGCGGCTCTTCTGGGTGCCGTGGCTGCGGCGCACGGCGCGCAGGATGCCCTGGTAGGAGGCCAGCAGCAGGCAGATGGGGAAGAGGAAGCCCACCAGGAAGCGGTAGTAGTTGATGCTACGCTGCCAGGACTGGATGGGGTAATGCTCAAAGCAGACTCGGTGCCGATCCTCGTCCTCGATGACCTCCTTATGCTTGAGGAAGTAGATGCTGGTCAGCAGCTCCTTGGCCCAGATGAACACACTGACACCCACGGCTGCCTTCAGGGTTCGGAACTGGTGGAAGCGGAAGGGGTGGGCCACAGCCAGGTAGCGGTCGATGGAGATGCAACAGAGGAAGCCCACGCTGATGTAGATGTTCTCATAGAGGAGGATGCCACACACCTGGCAGGACAGGTCACCGTGGGACCAGTTGTCGTGCTGGAGTACGTACTGCAGCCAGAAGGGGAGCGAACAGATGTAGAACAGATCTGCAATGGTCAGGTTGCACAGGTACACTCCCAGTTCATTCCGGGCCTTGATCTGCAAGTAGCCGAAGTAAAGGGACAGGCAGTTGGCCGGGAAGCCTACCACCAGCACGGTCACATAGACCACCGGGGCCAGCGTCTGGTGGATGGTGTGGTCGATGGGGCAGGATAGCGAGGAGTTGTCCGTAGTGATGTTCCCCATCTTTGGGCCAGAAGGGGCCTCACCCCTCATGCGCTTAGAGATGGAGTCAATCTCTCTAGTGCCATCTTGTTTATAGATGGTGACTCAAGTCTATCAAGATCTGCTCCTCACTGGTGGTAGGAGAACCCCTACAAGTCAAGGCAGAAGAAGCTTTCAATAATCACAGCTAACACCTATGTAACACCTACTGTATGCCAGGCACTGTTCTATGCACTGCGTTTGTTCACCTAGAAACAGTACCACCAAGCAGCTCCAGGGCAACTGAACGCGACATACCAAAGCACTGGGGTGTGGCTTATGGCTCCCCGTCTGTGGCTTCCCTTATGTATTCCCTGCCACTTATTTATGTTTCTGGTGACTTGATACAAGCAAGGGAGGCAAAGAGGAGGTCCTAGGAGCATAACTGAGCCTGGATCTCCAAAGGAGACTGGAGGCAAGAGTATTTCCGACTTACCCACAGCGTGAGGGCTGCGTCAGCTTACGTACCAATAACAGTCTGATAACATTATAGGACTGTAGTAACTAGATACAATCCTGAGGCCACAGCTGCTCCAGGGGCCTCTCCACACAGCATTAGAAGAGACACACCCTGGTCCACATCCTTTGGTGCTTGGCAAGAAACAAAGGACAGTTTCTCCTCACAGGGCCCTGCCCAAGTTCCTGCTACTCCCCAGCAAGTGTGGCCTCTCTCATCTCCCGGTGGATCTTGGGCAAGGTTCTGGACTGGGGATCAAAAGAATCAAAGGTCAAGCCAGGGCCAGCCACTTGCCTGAGTTTGTGAGTCTTTCTGAGCCTCAGTTTCCTCCTCTGGAATTTGGGGGTTAAAAGCATCTTCCCTTTCTGGTCAGGACCACATGGTGGATGGGCGGCTGCAGTGTGTATCAGGGGCAAAAGGGGGCCTCTGAGACGCTCACTTCCTCATCACATTAGTGAGGTGACTGCATTGAGAATTTTTGTTTGTCTTGTCTATGAGACAGGGTCTCACCATGTTGCCTGGGCTGTCCTGGAACTCACTCTGTAGACCAGGCTAGCCTCAACTTACAGAGATCCGCCTGCCTCTGCCTCCTGAGGGCTAGGCATTGAGAATTTAACAAATGGAACTCCAGACCACGATAATGTCTAAGGATTGAATGCAATGTTTTGTGGACTGTGTACTTGATAATTAGCGCACCAAAACAGTAAAGGCTTGAACTGTTCTATTGATTTAACCCTTCTCTCTCAGCAGGAAAATCTCACTGGGCTAGCTACACCAGCACTTTTCTTTTCTTTCTCTTTCTATTATTTATTTGTTTGTTTTTGCAACAGTTTTGTCTATTCGTGTAGTGTCCTTAGTGCCAGGAAGATAGTCCGTTCCATCTGCCCTGCTCAATTGACCTTTTCAAGCCATTTTGCATTTTATTCCTTGAAGGAGTTGTTTCAGGTACAGTATTTGCTGTCTCATGATGAAACTTACTGTCAGGTCTCCTGCACATTTATGCTGAGGTCATCTGGAAGGCGACACGAAACTGTGGTCTTTCGAATCTTTTCCCCCACTCTACCCCTAACTGAGAACGGACTTTCCTTCCCCTTGAGAGTATATGTTCTCCTGACTGAAGGTTCTAAATTAACGTACTTGGTGACACCTGCAGATCAATACTGTTCTCTGCGCTCTCTTCAGAGAGCTGAGGGCTAGCTGGGCTCTGGAGAGAAGCCTCTTAGAGACCATGACCAAGTCTCAGCCGACTGCAAGACTCCAAGTTCCTGTAGCTCTCTCCAAAGCTCCTCCCCTCCACCCCAGCTCTCTTCTCCACCACTATCTCCCATCTCGCCTTGGCTCCTGCCTGGCCTGGGACCACCAGAGCAGAGATGGGCAGAGGAGCCGCTGTAACCTACTGGGAAGGGGCTCAGAGAAGTCTGGACCCCGCAGCTCCAGTCCCAGGGTCCCTGAGGACTAACGCAGGGAGTTTCTCTGAAGCCACACTCCGTCTTGTAGATAACCATGCACGATCACCCGCTATGACCTGTGGTTTCTGTAACCTTGACTTCAGCTACCCAAGGTTAACTGTGGTAGAGAGAAGAGTGTAGCACACGGATGTATTTTGAACTTGAGAAGCTGCAGCAGGAGGTTTCAATGCCATCTTGTGTCACCTGGTCACTTAAACATGATGATTAAATACCACTACCACGTATATTATATATGCACATAACGTACGTGGGAGTGGTGGCAAGTATCCACAGATCTGTAATCTCAATAATTATGAGGCAGAGGCAAGAAGATCACGGTTAGTTCAAGTCCAGCCTGGGCTAATTGCTTAGTAAAATTCTGTCAAAAAAAATGATTTCTTGAAAGAGAAAAACCATATTCAAATAAATACATTACAGTATGCTATTATAATCATTCTTTTTATTACTGGCTATTGCTCGCATCTTCCTGCGTCTAATATACAAATTAAACTGTATCATGGGTACAGGTATGCACATGTTTGCTAACTCATGGTATAAACAGAGGTCAGTACTACACACCTGTGATTTTAGGCATCTGCTGGAGGTGTTGGATGCGTGCCCTTGGAATAAGGTAGACCACTCTGGATATTCAGCTTTCCTGGATAAAGGGACCCGAATTCTCTTCCCTTTTAGTGAGCAGGAGATGGGGGCTGGTCTGAAGCCACCCTCTCATTGGATTCCAACTCCCTCAATGGGATGATTTAAAGCCCATCCCACCCTTACCCAAGCCCTCCCCGCCTCTCACCCTAACCAACCTCTTTCCTCAGAAGCCCCTCCAGGCCCTCTCTACTGACTACCCTAGCTCTACCCCATCTCTGCCTCTCCCCAGCCCCAGCCCAGCCCTCCCACTCAGGCCCTTGTGCCGGTCACAGCCATCCTCCGGAGAAGCAGCCCGAATGTCTCCTTGCTTACACACTTGACAGCAGATTCTCTCACACCTAGACTGAAAGCCAAGCACCCTTGCCGACCCTCCAGACCCCTGGTTCTAGTCCTTGACCCTGCCTGCCACCCCACCTGGAGGACACACGGCAGCCTCTGTGCCTCTGTCCCTCTACCTGGGTCTTGCCTAGCGGCTCCTTCCTGGAGTTCTCCTCACTGTGGCACATCCCCCTCCCCTCCACCCCCCCCCCATGCCTCCCACTGCATAGCACCTGCTCCGGCTCTGCTAGAGATCTGCTCCACTGTCACTTCCTGGAAAGGCTTCTCCTGGTACCACCTCAAACACACACACACACACACACACACACACACACACACACACACACACACACACACACAGGAAAAGAAAAGGTGGTGGCGAGTGGGCGGTGGTGGTGATGGTGGGGTAGTACATCCGGACATCCACAGACCAGAGCAGACAAAGCCTCCTTGAGGCATGCCCTGTCAGGTCTTGGAAATTCCCTGATAGTCACCAGGCCCCAAGTCTGTTGTTTACTAGTGGTGAGTGTATGGACATGTGGGGTAGGGCGGGGTGGGGCTTGTAGCTTCCTCTTTCCTAAGCCAGCAGCAAGCTACTTCTGGCAACCAAAGGCATAAATATACAAGCCTGCAGAGCCAAGAAGCAGCGCTGACTACAGTGAAGTTGGGGCACCGCCCACGTTCACTTTGGAGCAAAAAGAACAGCAGTTCTTGAACTGGCTGCATCCGAATCCACTGGAGGTTTAAGACGTTGCCGACTCTCATGGTCCTGAGTTTCCAAACTGGCTGGGTCTGAGAAAGGGGCTCTCAAAAATGTTTACATCTCAAACAAGCTCCTAAGAGATGCAGAAGATGCGGGGTTGCTGAGCCATGGATCACACTTTTTGAATAGCAAGGCACCAGAAGAGTCTAGAAGGTCATAGGCTCAGATTCTGACCATGCCCCCTTTCATGAGTTCCTGGGGCAGGAAGCAGATGCAGCCGGAAGAGACTTAAAACCCAGCAGGAACTTTGGGCAGAACAGGGCACAGGCATTTCCAGACTCTTTCTGCAGGGAGTGGCTCCAGCAGCCCTCAGGGCACGGTGACTGCAGGTGCTACTGTGTCTACTCCTTTAGCTTGCAGAATGTTTTGCACTTTACTTAGGGTTCCATGCCTGCACTCTGGCTCCACCTTCACAGCCCTGTTTTGTTTCTATTTAAGACATACTGTAACCAGAGACACAGCAACTTGCCCAGCAGTCCAGGTTTCATAGAACGGGTATTTGTGGAACATGTAGAGCGTTCGTGGAGCCAGGCTACATGCATGGGAAACTAAGAGATAAAATGGGAAAGAGCTCCAACCCCAGGGAACCTCCAAGACCAGAAGTCAGGGAGGCCACATGCATTGACTACATGAGAAGCGGCATCTGGTGGATGCGTGGGCTTCTCTCACACATGCATTCAGGGTTGGCTCACTCTTGTGATTCTTTGCATACATTCTGTGGTTCTAATCCCATGACAGCCTGTTGACCCCCAGAGCTCCCCCTCACTGAAGGCTGCATATAAACCACTCCTGCCACCTCACGGGGCACGCTCAGTGGGGTTCACGCTAGGTCCCACATTTTCTCCACTAATCCGTTCTTTAAAAAGATGCCCCCACTTGCCAAGTTCTTCACCTTGAATGGATGTCCTTAAACTTCCTCCCTCAGCCTCCTTCACGGCTTTAAGTAAATTGCCAACTTCTAGAACTTTTAACTCCTAAGTTTTTGAAAGCATCACTCCTTTCTTTCTCTCATCAGCACCTTGGTCAAGACTTCCTTCTTAGCAGGGCGTTGGTGGCACACGCCTTTAATCCCAGCACTTGGGAGGCAGAGGCAGGTGGATCTCTGCGAGTTCGAGGCCAGCCTGGTCTACAGAGCGAGTTCCAGGACAGCCTCCAAACAATACAGAGAAACCCTGTCTCAAAAAAACAAAAAACAAAAACAAAAACAGACTTCTTTCTTGAAGTAGGTGTGAATGCCTTAAGTTAGGTTCATGTCTGTGACTCACCATCTAAACTCCATCTTCCAAAACACAAATCTAGCAAGTCATACGCTGGCTGTCCAAACATTCACCCATCCACCCAGTCACCTATTCACTTTCTCATCTATCCATTCCCTATCCACCATCACCCATCATACATACATACATGCATACATACATACATACATCTATCCTTCATCCATCATCCATCCACCCATCATCCATCCATCCGTCATCCACCCATCATCCACCCATCCATCCACTCAGCCTCCCACCCATATCTATCTACCCAAACATTCTTCCTAGAACAGTACTGAATGTCCACTGTACAGAAGACATTACACTATACCCTGACGCTAACAGCCAACTTCATTTCATTCCCATGAGGAAGAGCAGATCAGTGAAGTAAACTCCAAGGATTTTGTGGGAGTTCTTTGGAGGGAGCCTACTCCAGTGAGGGAAGCCTTCCTGAGCAGCAACAGCCAAACTAAGGCTATGAGAAAGAGGAAGAGCTTCCCAAACAGTGGGGAGTCTCTGCCTGTGGAAAATGTGTGCATGCTGTCAAACACAAGAGGGAGGAGTGAGTCCCTTTGAGGAACTGAAAGTAGCTTGGCATGAGAGCATGTCAGTATGAGGCAGGCATGGCCAGAGAGGAGACAAGAGGCTGTATGAAATGCCAACAAATAGAAAGGAAGGGGGGATGGAGAGGTTCTTTAATGCCTGGTCCTCAAGCCTTCAAAACTGGCCCGTTAGATGGATTTGTAGGTGGAGGGGTAAGTGGGTTGAGTTGCTGGGTTGGGGTAGATGTGCAGGTGAAGGAGTGGATGAACGGGTGGGGATGTAGGTGAGTGGACAGATAAATGAACTGGTAGATATACTGAGTGAGGGGCGGGCAGGGAAGACAGTTGGAGAGGATGAGTGGATAGGTGGATGGGTGTGAATTTGGAGGCTGGGTGCTGGAGCAGTGAGGTCACTTGCAGAAGTAGGAGAGTAAGAACTCTCTGGGACCGCCTTAGCTTGATGGTGACTCCCACACAGCCAGCCCACACTCCTGCCACTTGTGAGGATGAGCAGCCTCCCGGGGAAGGCATCCTTCTGCCCATCCACTGGAATCTATCTACCTGGAATCCAGAACTTTCATCCTCACAAACTAAACACCGTGTTGGACACAGAAGTGTTTTTGAAGCAGAAAAGCTGAGGCCCTTCTGCATGGAACTTTCCGTTAGCCAACAGTTCTGTACATACATTCCATGTCACCAGTGAGAACACCGAGGGTGGGCGATGAGCCAGCCTCCTGGAGCTTCCACAGCTGGGGTATGGCAGGTCAGGCTTTAAACTTCTACCCCAAGTTTCCTTTACCCACCACTTTCCAACCACTGATCAGGGTCACCACTGAGCAACCAGCTTCAGCTTCCAGACCTCACAGATACCACCACAGGGGCCAGTAGGCTTTGCTGTGGGCTAGCCTCCTGCTCCTGAAGGGTGTTTCACAGGCTTACTTTCTATGCACCCAGTTCTTGGTCTCCCACAATGGAGGGACACGCAGAAGGCAGCAGGAACAGCTCTCTGCCATCTAGCTGAAAACTAAGAGCTGTACACAAAGTGACTCAATGCCTAGAGGCAGACCCTTATACACATGGGAACCAGGGTAGAAGCCACCAAGGGTTTGATCGAAGCCCTGACAGGAAGAACCTCTCAAGATGAAGCTAGTTCCAGGTAGGAGAAGAGATAGAGAGTTGGATTTCTCCTGGTGCATGAACAATTATCTCCCCCAGCTCCTATTCTCCTGCGAGCAAGCACCCAGGCAGAGTCTCCTGGTGCCAGGGACTGCTCAAAGCTTCAGACCGCAGAGCTGGGGGTTTCCTGTAAGCCTGCTTCTCTTCCCTCAGCTGACCAACCACCCAGATATTTCCACAGGCTATCTCCACAGGGATTAGGGTACCTAACTGTCCTATGAAGGCTGACTCCAGAGGAAGTTTCCCCAGGGAAGGGATAGAAATCAACTGTTTTTTCCTTCTATTATCGCCTTTCCCCCAAATAGTCTCACTCCTGCAGTGGCAAAGATAATCAAATCTCATTTCTAATGTACTGTAACAGTTTCAAAGTCAATCCAGTTTAGGCTTACAAAATCCCTGTAAGTTGGGTGGGGCTGGCATTGCTAGCCACTTCACAAAACCTGAAGCCCAGGGAGGCTGAACCAGTTCCCGAAGCTTAAACAGTAAGTCAGGATGGACCTGAATCCAGGACAAAGGCAGCTAGGCACTCAATTGCTGCCTTAAAATAGACAACAGAAACAAACCACAAACAATAGAAAGAAATACACTTGACAGTATGGCCCTGTGCACACACACACACACACACACACACACACATACACACACACACACACCACAAACGAATGTGGATTGAGAAATAAACTCCCCCAAGCAATGCTTACCTTGATGCTTGTCATGCATGCTGGTATTTTCTCTCTATTTCATTTCCTTTATACACAGGTCTTGGGCTATTAGATTGATTTCTGTCCCAAAAGCTGGTCAGTTTGGAAACTATCCAATCCTATACCCACACTGCCTGGCTTTTCTGGAGCCTCCTGGAGAGGCAAAGGAAGGCAGAGAGGTGTCTACAGCCAGCTGAGGGGCAGAGGGAGAGCTGTCAGTGAAGTCCAGCCTCAGCAGCCCAGGAGTCCTCTGCAGGAGAACCTAGGAAGAGTCGGCTCTGACTCTGTCTAGCTAAGCTCTCCTCTCACACCTCAACTAACTATACTCTGTACTCCTACAGCTCAGCTTGGCAATGCATTGGCAACCCTGCACCAGGACGAGCTCTCCCTCTCTCAATTCCTGCAGAAAACCCTCCCAGCTCATCTAGAAAATCCCCAGCTGGAGGCTACCCATTCCTGAGCTGAGGCAGAATCATGTGAACTCCAATCTGGTGTCAGGCTGGGCGGTTGCCGAGGAACCGCCCGCCAGCAGGAGGATGAGGGTGGCAGCCTGGATCCCTCCACACACCCTCCATCCTTTAGGCTTGCCACATGCTCAGGTGGAGTCGGGAGAGAAGCCTCACTGCAAACACTCAGACTTGAATTAAGACTGGTGCCCGAGTGGGGGCTTAGAAAGAATTGGGCATCCTAATTTTAGCTATCACCACCTCGGGTACATGCTAGACACCAAGAGACACAGAACACTGAACTTCTTTCACTGAAGCCCCTCAGGTCTGCACTGTGGTTGCTGACTTAGGGACACCAGAGGTAAGGACAAAGTAGCAACTGATAAGACAGGAAAACTGCACTCCTAGCCTCAAATCCTTCCTCCCAGCAACTAACATCTAGGTTAGTGGGTCTCAGCCCTGGTCACATTTGTCAGAAAACACTTCAGAGTACTTCAGAGTCTATTTACACACACACACACACACACACACACACACACACACACCAGCCCTATCCCAGCCTAATTAAATTGTTCAAGCATCACACAGAGCAGGGTTATGAGGGTCAAAGCTCTGGGCAGGATAGGGTGTGTGGCCTCAAGCATCAACCAAGAGCAGGACCCCACCCGTGAACTCTTTCTGCTCCTGGAAGTCCTCGTGAAACCTTCCTGTGTTCATTTACCCACTGTAGTACACAGGACAAATTTTAGAAAGTTCTCCAGTCCAGCCCTGCAATTATAAATGGGGAAACTTGGTGTCCTGAGGACCAGAGGTCAGGACAGAGCCTAACCATAAAGGATGACTGAGCTGTGACTGAAACCTGATGTTCTTGTCAGGGGCCAAGACAGAGTCCCTCCAAAGCAGGGTCCTTGGAAACCCATCACAAGATATCCCCAGAGCCTGTGCACACCACACACCACAGCACCCAGAGGACACAACATCACTGTGATGTATGGGACTTGACTTCTCCAGAGATCAAACTGCTATGGGACGGTGTTAGCTGAGGATCTTTCCAAGAAACGCCGGCACATAACACCTACATCACTTGCTAGTCGGAGGTCTTATGTTACAGGAAGGGCTGCCACTTGTTCTGGGGTGGCCATCTGTTAGAGTCAGATGTTATGCCTGAGGTCTACAGTGTACTTGTCTGTCCATGATGTCACACGGGGAAGAGGCGGGGAGAGTATAAGACTGCCTGACTACCACCAGGTCACAGAGAGCGGCTCTGACCCTCCCTTACAGTGTGGCCCAGCCTAACAGGACATTTATGCACCCACACCATTACCCTGACACCTTCAGGAGCCAGTAATGGCATTGTGAACTCCCTCCAGCACACCCAGGGACAAGAAAAATGTCCTAGACCTCTGTTAGCAAATGCACAAATCTTCATCTGGAATAGGCACCCCCGGCAAAGCCACCATGGCCTCGAGCATATTGATGGAGTGATTCCTTAGTCTGTGTCCTTGTACTGCCATGCAGTAAGAGAAAACAGAGCCATTGCTAGGTGGTCTTTGGTGCTGGGGTTTCTTTTTCTTCAGTAGTGACACACACAGTGGCCTCATGAATCCTAGAAGCCCCATAAGCCCCACCCTTTATAAATTTCTCCAACAAAACCTACAATTAGATAAAAGCAAAGAGCCTGTGGCACCCTGCTGTAGCATCAATAAAAGCATCACCCTGTACCTACCTCCAGGATTCTGCCCTTCAGCCAAAGGAGAGAACATGGGGAGCAGATACTGCCCAGGGCAGGCTGGGATAGGAGGGTGGGATTGAATGGGGCCAGGCCTGCCACCTGCTGAGCTTCTGCTCCCTCCTCCCCTCCTCCTAGGATTTAAAGACACAGTCCCCCATCCCCCACCCTGTGGCATTTATTTATTTGTTTACTTATTTATTTGGTGGTTTGTTTGTTTGTTTGTTTTTTGAGACAGGGTTTCTCTGTAGCTTTGGAGCCTGCCTTGGAACTCGCTCTGTAGACCAGCCTGGCCTGGAATTCACAGAGCTCCACCTGCATCTGTCTCCTGAGTCCTGAGATTAAAGGTGTGTGCCACCACCGCCTGGTAAGATGTGGTTTCTTATGTAACTCGGGTGACCTGACACTTGACTATGTAGCCCAGAGTGGCCTTGGACTTATGATCCTCTGCCTAAGCTGTGCAAGTGCTGGGATCACAGGCATGCATCACTACAACTCTCCTCTATACCCCAGGCCCTGTCACAGTGACAGGACCGTGGACCCCACTGGACTGAGACCTGGTTGTCTCTATTGTGCCACAGCATAGACATCTGCTTCTGGATCCGTCCCTAAAGAGTTGTGAGCCTTCCTCAGCTGCTTTGGGAGCTGTTGGCTGCCATTTGTTTCGATACAGAAGTCTGCTTGGAGACAGGGTTCTAGACCACAGGCCTCGAGTTATCTACCATCTCCCCAGGAATCTAGGCAGCATGGGGGGGGGCAACATAAATGGCCCCTGGGGTCTACACATATGGGAGTACACATGGGAGTAACTGCGTGGCCACTCAGAGGGAGGAGCATGGGCTCTGACTCAGACCTGGAGGTCAAGTCGAGCACTTCTACTTAGGCAACTTTGAGAATCACATATGCTACCAGTTTCGTGAAGCTCCAAGATGATGAGACTCAGTAAAGGGGCTGGTGTTTAGTAGGTCCTGAAAAAGAGCCAGTGAGATGATGATGGCTGATTATACTGAGCCTGTATTTAGAACAGCCCCCTCTCACCATCTGATGACCCAAGTCAATGCAGACTGGGCAGATCAACTTGGGAAATGGTGATGGAGCATCATTACCATCAGGGTTTTGAAAGACTCAAATTACTCCACTGATTTGAAGCTAATCAGGGTGGAGGGTCTGAGGGGCTCCCCAGGGGCTCTGTAAGCAATGCCTGTAATTAGCCATCTGCAGTTTACTGCAGGGAGCCTCTCTGGATTGTGTCTTCAGTAGATGTGTGTTAGCTAGCACATGCTTGATTGCCAAGGGAACTCTGCAAGGGTCATCTAGACGCCCAGGGGTGCTACAGGTTCCACAGGGGTCAGGTGTGGGTTAAAGATGGCTCTGAAGATTAAGCCTCTTCACTTCCCAATGTGTGCAGCACCAACACCTTCTTGAGGGTCTGGAAGAACCCGCAGCACCACGATATCTGCAGTAGCCACTGAGGATGTGGCTATCAACCAATGCCTGCTCTGGTTTTAAGTTTCAAAACAATACTGTGTGCACGCATGGACACATGTACCATGGCGCATGTGTGGAGGTCAGAGGACAACTTTGTGGTGGTGATTTTCTTTTTTGTTCCAGAGACTGAACTCTGTCACCAGACTTGCCCAGCAAGTACCTTCCTGCTGAGACAGGTTGCATGTTTTATTTCTTCTTCTTCTTTTTTTTTTTTTTTGAGACAGTGTCTCTCTACATAACCCTGACTGTCTTGGAACTCATTATGTAGATTAGACTGGCCTTGAATTCACAGATCTCTACCTGCCCTCTGCCTCCCAAGTGCTGGGATTAAAGGTGGGTACCATAATGTTCAATTCTGTTTTATTTCTTATATCGACCCTATGCTACAGGGTCATCCCTGCTTTATAGATGACAGAAATGTGACTCAGACAGAAACCAGTTTGCTCAGGGCTACATAGCTGGTAAGCACATGGGCTAGGATTTGAACGTGGGCATTTGACTCCACATGAAGCTTTAGACCAGGGCTTTCCTGGTCCCATTGCTACTAAAGCAGAATGCCACAGAGTTGCTTAAAAATAATACAAATCCTCAACTTACTGTCCTAGGGGTCCAACATCTGATGTAGATTTTACTGGACTAAAATCAATCTGTACACAGGCTGTATTTCTTTTTTAGGGGAAGCTGAAAGGGGTTACCTCATCTTTTTTCAGATTCTAGAAGCTTCTAGAGTGCCTAAGCTGTGGATATCTTTCCATTTCCAGAACCTGCAGTGGTGGACTGAACCCTCTTCACCTTGCATGACTGTCTGTCTTCTCTCTCTGCCCCCTTTTCCACTTTGAGGGACCTTTGTGACAAACTGGGTTCACTCAATTGACACAGGAAAGTCTCTATTTTAAGGTCAGCTTACTGGCAACTTCGCTTCCTCCTGCCTATGACCTTAAGTCTCTGCAAAGGCAATGCTGTCACAGACCCTGGGGTGAGGAGCTAGACATCCTGGGTTGGGGAAAAGAAGACAGAGACCTGGATATTGCCCTCGACCCCCATCCCAATCTGGACAAGGTCTAAAGCCATGAAACAAAGCCACATGACCAATTCTTCAATGTGTGTGTAGAGCGGAGCCTTGGGTGGCAATGAGCAGGAGCTGTGCCCCATTCTAAAGGGTGGAGGGGAAGTAGCGCCAGTCTCTTATTGTCCTGTGTAAATCAGCCCTTTCCCAACCTCTGTTCCTCTTCCCCAAATGCTCTGTACCCAGTTATCAACAAGTACTTCTCCCCGGCCTTGAAGGCCACCCTGTTTCCCAGGCATTCAAAAGCACTGCTGTTGACCTTGACAGTACCTGTATCAGTAACCCATGGGTGCCTATTGAATGCAGATTCCAGGCCCTGCCAGGCCCTGGGCCCACAGAGTCTCATAAGGGCCTGGAGAGATGCCCAGTGGTTGGGAGCACTTGCTGTTCAATTGTGAGGAGCAGAGTTTGAATCCTAGAGTCCATGCAACATGGCTCTTGTCTTGTTGGGCATGACGGCACACACCTTTAATCCCAGAATTTGGGAGGCGCATACAAATGGATCTCTGTGAGTTTGAGGCCACCATTGTAACACTGAGTTCCAGGAAGTCTGAACTACATAATGAGAACTTGTCTCAAACAACAACAAACAAACAAAAAACAAAGCCAAACCCAAATGAACCTAAACCCTGGGCCCTCAGAGATGATAGCCCAGTTGTTGTTTAAGAGCAACAACTACTCTTTCAGAGGACCATCTGCAACTCCATTGCCAGGGGATCTGATGCCCTTTTCTGGCCTCCAAGAGCACAAGGCATAAAACTGGTGCACTCACATACATTCAGGCAAAACAACCATATACATAAAATAAAAACAGGTAAATATTTTTAAATGGAAAAAAAAACAGAGAATATCCAGGGAAAGCTGGATATTCACAAATATCTGCACAAGAAAAATAACAGGGTCCATTTTCAAAACAAAAGTACCTTGAGGCCCAGCCACAAATGCACAGAAAGCTTTGGTTCCTGCTAATGCCAGCAAGCATAGCTACCCCCACCAAAACTAGACATTTAGAGTAGAAAATTATCAACAGCCAGGCTTCCTTCATGATCTGTAGAGGTCATGTCCCCAAAAAGCATAAGTAAATAAGCAAATAAATAAATAAGTAAGCAGAATGTAAAAATGTTGTGATAAACCCACTCAGGGCCTTCACTGAAAAATAGGCGAGCATAAGTAACAGATGATGTTTGACTCTATTCCCCACCCCCACTGTCCCAATTGCTCAGCCATTGAGGACAATGAGGAAGGGACCCACGCTGGTTCTCTGCCCTTGATTGGTGCACTGGCCACTTACTTCTTTGGGTTAGTGTCAGGCTTGCAAGGTTACAGCATAAACTGCCTCACTTTCAATGCTCCGGTCACCAGGGCTTATTATTACGAGAGTGGAGTGTTTGCTCATCTCAACCTGTAACTCCAGATCCAGGCCTATCCTAGCCTCTGTACACACACACACACACACACACACACACACACACACACACACACACACACACACACACACGCACGCACGCACGCACGCACGCACGGACACATCTTTAAGGGATAGCATCTGTTTCAGCAATCTCCTGGGTGGGTATGACACATAGGTTTCCTGGTCGAGCTTCGATACCAGCTTCTCTGTGCAGCCCTTCCAGAGCCCAGAGGGCAAACCAATTTCCCCTCCACTTCTACACCATCCACTCTGCCCTTCTCTGGGATCGATTTGTCCTTCCCTGGCTGACCTGTGACTCTAAAGGTCACTCTCATTATGACAGTGAGAGCTGGGCCAAGGACCTCACACAGAAAGAGGTGTGGCAGGGAGTTCTCCTGGCAGGTGAGTCAAACTGAGGGTACAGGAGATGGGTACTTGCATGCCCTGAGCTATAATCACACATAAGGGAGGCCCTGAACTTCTCATAGGCTGTCACCCTGTGGGGAAGACATGATCACCGCAGCTCTGCCATCCAAGTGAGACCTAGGGATGTGGATGTCCATATTCTCCTCCTTTCATGTGTGCCGTCGGGCAATGACACCACAACCCCTTGCACGCTGGGCCTCTGGCCTCTACCTCACCCTTGAAGGAGGACCGAGTCCACTTTGTCTCCCACCAAGGAAGACGTTCACTAAGTACACCAGGTGTTGGAGTGTATGAGTGACTCTACACGCATTTCTTCTGCAGCCCTCCTGAAGCCTGGTGTGGCTGAAAGTGGCCAGAAGCTAACAAATGGGGGTCGGGGAAGACCGGCAGGACATGCCACGGAGAACAGGAAGAGGGCGAGTTTTTAACCTAAAGGTGTGGGGGGTTGGCTCCGGGTGAATATGAGTCACCACAGAAGCCTGTAGCCCAGCCAGAGACTTCAAGCCAGGAGGGGCTGCAGTCTGAGGAGATGGAAGCTGTCTGAGCATCCTTCTTGCTTCAGGCCAGCGTAACCCCAGGCCTTTGGGTTGCCATGGTAACCGAAGTCTGCTGCACCCTCCCCCTACACTTCCTGCCTACCCACCCTGAGAGCTTTGTGCCATCAATTAATGATCCAATAAAGTCTGACAACAGTCACCCAAGC